ATTTAATACGTTATTAGTTGTATAAAAATACCCGAATATACGATGCTGCCAATAATGATTTGATAGGTTGCCGACGTCTCAACTAGAATCTTCCTAGTGGAAGAAAAGTTTTTAATTTTGCGCCGCCTCCGAAAAGGTTGAAATGTATTTAGTATACTATTTAACGAGTAAATAGGTTTTGTTAATAGCTGTTGGGTATTTGTATAAATGATGTAGAAATTATTTCATACTTTTTAGTGCATTTCGAAGTCGGTTGTATTTTTTGTTAAAAATTATTTTATCAAAGCTATGTATGTATGTACCTATAGGTGGAACCAAACCCGACTGTCATGTATGACGTCATAGCCTACCTATAACATGTATGCAACAACATTATTTTAATTGCTCCTTGTTAATAATTTGCTATTAAAATATCTGACCATTGAATATTATAAAACAAATCAGGAGCAATTTTTTGATACCATAATATCTTTGTAAAAGATCATTTACTATCTATTTTGCAGATAACAAATTTCTGCTTTTTTATTTGCGAATATCTCATTAAATATAATGTTTGCGACTGGAGCAATTTTAGATTCCAAGCGAGCAAATGGGAAGCAATTTTTTGAGACATAAATTAATATTCCGCGCCAACTTTACTTCGGTTGTTGTCTAACGTGTCCGTGTGAGCTCTCCGTTCGGCTGCTCCCGTCATTTCTACGTTATCGACTCGATGCTCAAGCCACCTAAGCATGTGGCAGCAGCATCGACGAGTCGATAAAATAATATAATCTCGTCCATGGTAATATGTCAGAATTGAGAAACCAGGAGATTTAGTTCGAATCCCGATTCTACGGTTTCAATTCTGATTTTTAATACATAACAATACATTTTTAATACATTAATACTTTGAAATACATTAACGAGCGAAGCACTTAAAAAAAAGTGATGAACTGCTTTCTTTATTGATATCTAGCCCTTTATCGACCCTGATCGCCCGCCAATCTATAATAGATATAGATCCCTCACCCAATCAACCCGTGACCCGACAGAAAGACCCAATCCCGACCTGTATACCCCCCTTAAAATTCCCTGCGCCGGGCTCGCCATCGCGCGTCGCCGGGACAGCGACGAGCGAGCAGTCAGATTTTGGTATTAGAAGCGATAGTAGCGAGTATGTGTGAGAGTACGAGTGCATACGTGCAGTCAACGTATCGGTAAGTCCCTATTATTACTAAAATTGTAAAATTTGAGTCCGATAACGGCCACCTTCCCCGCCCGATTCTTTGTACGCCGCGATATCGTCTCGCCCTACTTGTCCAGCCCCTAAAGATCCCCAGTTCCCTTTGGATACTCGATCGCGTAACCGTTACGCCGTAACGCAAAGAACCTCCTCGAACCCTTTACCCCGAGGTTCCCATCCTATATTCTTCCCAACCCTTGCGAACTCCCCTGCGTAGTCTACGACGGCCACGGTCTTTATTGTAGAAATTTTGTATAGAGTGAACCCCCGAAAAGGGTCACAAATTTGGCGCTCAACGTGGGGCCAGGAAAGTCCAATGTTCCATAAGTTCTCGCGATCGGAATTTCTCGAAATACCGTTACGAATTTGAAATTGTCGAAACTACGCAGAAGGTGCCCGTTATTGATACCCTTGTTGCCGTTTTTTTTGCCGTTGCCGGTCGAACACGGTGTTGTGATTAACGTACCGATATAAAAACCATCAGTGCCTCTCAACCAGCTTGAAAGCCGTTTTCGATCGAACGTTTGATTTTGAAAATTATTTTGAACTTGTTGCATGGCCACTGAGTTTGATAATCTGTGCCATAAAATTTTTTTGCTTTGTTTCACCGATTTAAATATTCGTGTCGCGTTTTGCCGATATTGAGTATTCTTGTCGTGCTCTTTGCCGATTTCGAATACTCTTGTCGTGCCACTTGCCAAAAAAAATTCAGTCACTCTCATTAGTGAAAATCGTCCACCCGCAACGGGGCGTATATTAGCACATTAAATTATTCTACATAAATAACTACATAATATAATCTAAAAACAAAAGATTCTGTTGAATTATGTCCGAATTGAACCTCACAGTGAAAATCGTCCACCTACAACAATGTTTAATAAATTGCAATAGTTATTTGGTTTTGTAATTTTTAATGAGTGATTCTTATACATTTTTGTGTGTTGAAACCGAATCTCCATTTTTGTCTAAACCATTTTTATCTAACTTTTATAGTTTTCGAGATAATCAATCTTAAACACAAATTGCAAATATTCAACTTTGGAAATTATTTATGCTTTTACAATAGTAAATATTCAGGTTCTTTTTTCACGCAATAATTTTGTCAAATCTATCGAATAAAATTATATAAATTGTTACTACATTATAAACATGTAAATATGTTTAAATAATAATGGAAGTGGAAGAGACGCCTAAATCACACGAACGTCTGCTGATATTTTTTATTATATTTCAAAAACTAACAATCTATGACCTCTACTAATTTTAGATTTACTCTTTCTAGCTCTGCTTGCAATTCCGCCTGTAAACACGAGTTGTAAATTAAATAATGAAAAATATAACGGCGCAAACATCTATTTTGAAAAATCTTTTATAACCATAGATGCCAAATCTTTTCGATGCTGCTCCTCCATTTGTCAAAGTTACTCCTTAAAGTTACTTTTACTGTAAGTACTGTATATCGTTGGATAGCTTGGTGTCGAAATCATAAGAGGACGGAGATATAGGAGTTCAAAGTTGCGATGAATTTGAATTTCACCGCGGTTGTGTGTTCGTCCGCAAGTGACCACTCTTCTGTTTCTGGCTCGGCTACCGATCATATAACCGGTGAGCTTAAAATCAGTGTTAACTAATTTCAATAATTTTGACATTGGACGCCAGAAACAGTAAAGAAGCGATGGTCGCTTGCGAACGAACACACAACCGGGGAGTATATGTTAGAATTTTGACTCTACTAATTGATCGATTGATCCTCTTCAACGGTTCTGGGGCACTGATATACAGGGTGTCCCGTAACGCATTTTCACCCTCTCAGGTGGTGGTAGGTGGGATGATTCTGAACAACTTTTTCCTTTGCGAAAAAGTGGTTTGAAGCTTCCTTTTTGAATTATTAAGCAAAAACACTGACCAATCCGAGCGCGTATAGCGCGCAGGGCTCAGAGACGGCAGCGTCGGCTACGACAGCGGGGCTTGACGCAGGTCGCGAACAAACGGCTCGGCGCCTCGTTAGCAGAGCACAATAAAAAAATTGAAGTAGTTAAACATTTTTTGTTGTTGTTGAAAAGGAATACGGAATCTAATCTCTTGTCGCCTGTTATTATGTAAAAAAGGAAATTTTAAACATTCTAAATAAAAAATAAAAATGTTTGAAATGAAATAATGAATACAAATTTTAAAACAATTTTAATGAAACTTACCCATTCGTTCGTAAATGTACCTGCTATACTGAAAGCAGGTGGTCGAGGGTTGAGGAGAAGTAAAGTACACCGGTCGAACGATGGTGGCGCATCACACCAAAACCACCTTCAAATCGCTTCAAGCATCTCCAATCCATAGTATACATATCAGTGTTCTGGGGTAAGTGCCATGCCGTTCCTCATGGTCCTCCTACCAGAAGATGCAAGATCTTCCCCACTCCGTGGCCAGATCCTTCTAGATTCTAGATCAACCTTATCTCCTTACACGTGCCATGCAGCACCATGACTTCGGGTCATCGGCCACACGCGCGTTCCTTCGAGGATCAGCAATCGCACTCTCTATCGCCGTTCCATAAACGTTCCTTTTAGACCGCGTTCAGACTATGCAACTTAGTTGTACAACTTTCCGTGCAACTTCGGGTCCGAATTTTTGTGTTTCTGACCGTGCCTGTACCAGGTATGCCGCCCGAAAAAGGAAATGATTTTCTCTTGTAGAAATACCAACTTCCGCATTTTTTATCAGATCTTTGCACAAGCGACGTCAATCGATTCCTTATGTTTTTGCGATCAAAATGAACCCAAACGCGACATAAATTGGACACTAATTAACCAAGTTACGTGAAAAATCTAAATGCATAGTTAAAAGCCAATTTCGTTAAAAGTAGTCCGGTTTACGTGATATGAGGTATCATTTTAATCGGGAGAACCCCAGCAATCCATTGGTACCACTTTCGTACAGATGCGATGAAAAATAAAGAATTTGATGTTTTGAAAAATTAATGCGGTCGGTCGGTTCGACCTTAGGCCGCCGAGCGTCTACCTAGGGCCTGTATCCGGTATGTCGTGCGAAAAAGAAAATGGTTGTTTTCTCTTGTCGCCTAGCATTTACCAGCAGCACCGAAAATTGCAAAGGAAAGGAAGGTGGGCTCTACTGGTTATATTATCATAGAGCCCGTCCAGTTTTAAACGCAACCGCTGTCGGAAAGAGCGATCCTTTCGAATTTTAAAGTATGCCCTTAAATATTCCAAATATAGGTAAATCATTTTTTACTGACGGGGACGAAGGTAGTGGTGCTGAAAGGAAATGCAACTTGTTGAAGTGGTGTAATAATCATTTTAATCATACATACAGAGGCACACGCATCCTTCCATACAAATGCACATTCACTCCTTTAAAACTAATCATTAAAACTAATCATTAAAACTAACTATACAAACTACATATATACAATTATTTACAAACAATTTACATATTATTTACAAACAATTATTTATATATCTTTTTACTGTGGGATTTATGGTGCCTGTGTAGTGTCATAGGTGGGAATGTGGTGTATTTGTTGGTAAGAATGTAATTGTATGGGTGGTAGAATGTATGGTACATATTGTGTGAGTGGTGGAGTGTTCTCTGAGGGTTGTGTGGGTGGTAGAATGTATGGTGCCGCGCTAGCAATATGTTTGTACTTGTTTAAAATGCTATTAATTTCTTCCTGACATTGGGTTGTCAGGTACGGGGGGAGGGCGCGCATTCGCTTGGCCGTAAAATGGCCGTATGCATCCCAATCGTCCTCCTCAGACTCAGGTGCGTGCAGCAATTCCGTTAGTTGCTGCAATTGGTCCATTGCTTCGGTTAATTGTTCCATCTTTCTTCTTTTTCTGGGGTTGGAACTCCCGACAAAATCAGGTTGCATCGGCGGCGTTTCCTCCGTCCAAGCCTCGCATGGATTTGCGCTGTCGACGAGTGTTGGCAGGCCGGTAGAGCATCGCGATGCCGGTGATGGTACCGAATTTGGATATGTCTGAAAGAGTGCGAGAACATTAACAGTTTTGCACACGAGTAGAGCACATAAGAACAAAATGTATACTACTGATTGCAACGGGATGCATTTAGAGGAATGTAGCACGGATGTAATGAATAAATGAACAGTAACTTACCAGCGTAACAGTAACTCTGCGATTCTCTCCTTCTTCGCGTAGGTCTCATGAATTCATCCATTATACTGATCCACATCAGTCGCGGTCTATAAACGTCTTCGGTCCCCGCGCCTGACCTCATGGAGGCCTCCACCTTTCTCATTTCATTATGGTATTGTGTTCGTAGGATTTTTATTTTATGTTTGATTTCCGCGGGACCCAGACCATCCTTCTCCATGTCGCGGATCAATAATTCTATTGCCCCCGACCGCATTTGATTGTTTCGATATGAGGGCGATGTAATATCCCACAGACAGTCGTGCTGCTTGTACAGCTCGACGAACTTGACTGTTTCATTCTCGCTCCACTTCATTGTCGTTTAACACTCACTGCTAATACTAAACTGCTCCCACGAATCGTTTTTGTTTAAATAGCAATTTTTTCGAGGTACCTGCATCAGGGCGCGTTATAGTAGGGTAAAGGAGACAAGTAATGTACTGGGTAAAGTAATAATCAAAGTACAATAAAAAATAGAATTTCTGTTCATCGTCCTTATTTTATATATGGAATTAAAAAAATATATGCTATTGTTGATATACCGCACATTTGTAAATCCATTAGGAATCAACTTTTAAAATATGATATTCGTTATGATAATAATAGAATTGCATCATGGAAAGACGTACGTTTATTATGGAAATTAGAAGATGGTAAAGCAACGAGAGCTGCTTGTAAATTATCGGAAAAACATGTTAATCCAAATAGTTTCGAAAAAATAAAATGCAGAGTAGAAGCAGTTCAAACTCAAACGATGATGCGTGCTGTTGAATTTTTTACAATACTTTAAACAGCAGAATTCCAATTCAAATAGATGCGCATTATCAAAAATTCGATTAACTGCGGAAAATAATTTAAGAAAATTATTAACAAATTGTTCGAAGTGGCGAACTGTTACGAATAATGGCCTGAGAATGCCACAATGTTTTGAAGGATTTGAAATTTCTGTTAAAGCAATCTTGCAATTATGGACGGATCTAAAATGCGGCGGAACTAAATTTGCGGACCCACTGGAAAATTTGTTTTCAATGATCCATACATACATACATACATATGGTGGAACGCACAATCAGAATTCGTCTGCAAAAGCTTTTTATTTGTCATTGCAAAAAAATATTGTATTAAATTTATCAAAACCAGCTCAGTCTGCAAATTGTTTGGATTGAGCTGGTAAACTTATTAGTTTGCTTGCGCATTCGAGACATGCTGTAGCATCTAATATTCAATTAACACCAACAAGTCCGTCGTTTTGCAAAAGAGAACGAGCAGGGAGCATTTATTGACGTTGAAGAAATTATTATTAACGCGTCATATATTAATGACCGAACATTAGAAGCCGCTACTGTTGAATATTTTGCAGGATTTGTAGCTATGAAATCTGGTTGTGACCACTGTTCGGACGCATTGACGTAGACATAGATTCGGGGTTTACATTATTAAGAAAACAGGAGAGTTTTTACACTTTCCATAATGTAATTTCCATAAATTTTGCGTAGTAACAACTGTTGTCAAGAACAAATATTATAAAAAATCCATTAATATCCAGAAAAAATCACATGTTTATATAGTTAAAGTACCCCCCGCGAATGTGGAAATTTTACGTCTATGCAATATGACCGCTGACTTTTCAAGTTGTAGGTTCCTGGAGGGGATTAGGTGGAGCCAACGGCACAGTCCCCTTGCCCCTCTGTCATTCTGTTTGTCGATGCTCGGCAACTTACGATCTCCGCATTTAAGATCTTACATATTATATGATAAAAGTTAGCATTTATAAAGATCTACTTTGGTTAGTAAATAAAGTCTGGAATGATTATCGCTATAAACCTGTACAGAAAATAATAAACGTGCAAAGCATGTAAAACATATTTTGACATGCTACGCGAACAATTTTTAATACAGTCAGAAGCGATATTATGGTAATTATAATAATAAAAAGTGGTATAATAGGGCTCCAGGCGAAGATCCACTATAACAAAATCTAACGCGCTATTAGTGGAACCTCAAAGGTAGTGTGGAATACCACTATTAATTATTACTGATTGTAAGAAACTAATAATATAGTCTTTTTAAACTTAAAAATTTTCCTAGTTAAATTTGAGCATAACGTCGAGTGGATAACACAGTTCAGTCAATAACTATATAGAGGTAAGAATTTATTTTGCATTAAGTTTGTTGGAGATTTCTTATATTCGAAGCCGGAAGGTGAACTCTAACGGTTCAGTTTCGATAAACATAGGTAACCTGTTTACGATTCTAACGGTTTGGTTACGATAAATATAGGTAACCTGTTTATTGTTCTAAACAATAGCCGTAACCAAGCCGCAAAACCGAGTTCACCAAGTTTCTCCTCTAATTCTTTTCCACCACTACACCATGAGCCACAAGTAAGTACGAATCGGCGTCGCATCGACACATTCGCGACAGTTCTTTACAAAGTTCAATAAATATATTTGTAATTGCAAATAAACCTGACTTTGACAATGGAGTTTCAATAATCGTATAATAATTTATATTTTTAATTAATAGGTATAATGAACGTAGCTTCCGCGACATCGAACTAGCGAGGGCAGAGACGCTGTATATAGAAGATATACAACAGACACTACAATCGAAAGTATGTACTATTATTATGTGTCGTTTTATTAAAACTATCACATTGTATGTGTCATTTTATATGAATTTCAGACAATCAACGAGCCAGCAAGACGAGCTGTAAACAAAGAAATTCAAAAAATAAAACGGCACTTATTTCGTTGGAGGTAAACGCCAAGAACCACAGGCGATTATACATATATTCCCACCTCCCGCGAGGTACCCGCCTCCACCGAGGGATTTGTCGACCGCGTACCCGCCTCCACCGAGGTACTTGTCGGCCGCGTACCCGCCTCCACCGAGGTGCCCGTCGGCATATACATATGTAACACACATACACATTAAATAAATAAATGTTAAAATATACGCGATGTGTTACTTTATTTCATCCTTTGTTTCATACTTTATCTGTTCAAATGTAAAATTTTTAGCAAATATAAGTGTTTTAGGAACTTATTATAGTATCATTATTATCGAAGCTACTCCGATCATCCTTTGTTGTCTGAACAAAATAATCAAACTGCAAGTCCAGAGACAGATGCGGAGTATGCAAAAGAGAGAGCGCATGTAGTCGCTCGTCGTAGCGAAAGAGTTAAATAAAAATTTCGTATCAATCTTTTTTACGAAAAACATTTCCAGCGTAATTTGCCCTTAATATTATCTTTTTCCCAATATTTTACGTCTTAAGAAATATCTCCAAAACGTCTAATAATAATAACACCGACCAGATAATAATATATCTCACACCACATGATAATCATTCGATACAGTTCAGCATGGACACTTGGCACTAGCCCTGAGAATGTCTTACCGCCAAACTGATTGATTCGGGTTATGCGGCCGCAATATATTCTAGAGAGCGTAAGAAAACGGTAAATTGTGGCGACCTCTGATACCGACGCGCAACTCCGTCGGAAAGTACATTTTCTGTAAATTTTTCTGATTAAAATAGCGACCTCTACTTCCGGGTCGGAAAAGCGAAAATTCACTTTTTACTTTCTTCTTTCTCAAACCACCGACCTGTTAACACGCGATCGGTCTTAGCTTTCTTGCAGTTAAGGCTGGTTCAGACACGGCTAGTAATTTAGTCGAGTGACGAGCAGTTTAGTGTATGGTCACTACAGTTTAGTCGAGTAGTTTAGTAAAACGATTTAGTCAAGTACATTCGTTTCATTGGATTTTTCTGGTCGAGTAGGCTTCCCCACCACTAACTAGGCTTCCGAACGGACCTGTCCGGACTCATTTCTTTAGTCAAGCGATATATCTTGTACTCTCGATTTTCAAAGCTCAACTGTACTAGTCCGGACACTTTTCTATGCGCTAAACGGTTTAGTAGCTACTCCCCACTCGACTAAATTATTAGCCGTGCCTGAACCAGCCTTTAGAGCTAGTGATTTTATACACGTGTAAATAATGGTTTAATTAGAAATACAAAACCCACTGCAATATTTAATCTTAAAATAAGTTCTAGTGACTAAATTTCGTGTATATAGTGACATTGTAAATATTCCAAGTACAAATTAATTGAGCGCAGCCAGTGAAGCTCAATCTCTCCCGAAAAATGTGTTTCGTTTTCCAGAAACTCGTCTTATTGTCAGTCCAAGGCGCTTCCCTCGCGGTACAACTTCGCAATTTTTTAATTAAACGAATTGTATAATTAAACTAAGGGCGAAATATTCGAACTCGCGCATACGTCCGAATCGAAACATTAAAGCGCGTCTCAAATTGTGATTCAAAGTGCGTTTTACTACCGCGGATAATTATTTTGTTAACTATACGATAAGCATCTTTACCCTTGTTAAACATTTATGAAAATCTTTGCGTACAACTGGTGATTTCCAAATTCTGTTAAATTCCAAATTCGACTCAGCTTCTAAATTGAATTTTTCTAATAATATTCTTTTGTACAGTATAAATCATTCTTTACCATTAAACCAGTTTCTGCATTTAAATAGTATCACATTCATTTCAAACAACTACCTGCACATAGTCTTAAAACCACGTTTACCAACCGCATACAGTTTCAAGGAGGGACCCGTACGGGACCCAGAGCACTGACGAACCCAACGGAAAAGTACCTTTTCATTTATCAAACAACTAACATCATCATTTTCCGTCTTTTAATTGTCTTGAGTGTAGACAACGCTTAACCGCGTTACACGCACTTAAGACTGGTGGTGGCAGCGAAAACCTAACCATCGCGCAAAATCGGGAAAAAGAATTAACTATAGTTTTGCAACCATCTAATTGTAACTATTCTTGTTAGTTATTTTTAATTTTTCCCTTTTACGTTGCGCCGTCGCACGCGCAACGTAACACATATCTGCATTTACAATGAGTTTCTTTGTATTTTTCGACGTGACAGAGAATTCAAAATTTTTCAAAATAACAGTGATGGGGGAATTTTTTTATTTAAACAAAGAATCTTTATCAATTTAATTGGCTCGGTTTATAGAGCATTAAAAACCATTCAATGTTTCTCATAACCATTTTTTTATATCTACAATAGTTTTAAAGATATACAGGGAAATATGGAAACACCTATCTACCTTCAGGGAGTGTTTTCACCCTGAAGAACTGAAATTGGGCTGAAAACAAAAATTGCCTTATACTTCTCTTGAGGTCCCCTACAAACCTGCAAAGTTTAAAAAAAATCGGAACTTTCGAATTACCGAACTTCCCTTGTTAGTCAGTGCACCGATGAGATGTTGCGGAGGCTAAGGAGTGTGCAAGCGGTGGGCTTAGTATGTGTGAGCGTTTCGACCAATAACGCGCGACGGTCTAGAATGCGTGTGCATTAGGCGTGACTAGAAACCTCTGACCAATCGTACCCGCATTCCTTAGTCTCCGCAACATCTCATCGGTGCACTGTACATTTGGCGGGAGGCCGAGCAATCGACCTGGCGCGGAGCACCACTGTCGGTACTTGGTCTCCCGCGCAGCTATTTCGCTTTCTGACGTGATAAACAAATCGGTATAGCAACTTTCTCCGGGTGGTTTTTCAAGGTAAAGATCTGCTCTATCGCTTGGTATAATTCGATTTTACGCTGGATCTCTACTTTTTCAGATAAATTATAAAATATCCTTAACAAATTGGTGCCAAATCGGGGTCCCTCCGCGTTCAATGATCGTTTAAACATACTTAAACGTTTATAATGTATTAAAGATAGGTATCGTTGTGTTCAAGAAAGTCTACAGAATCTTTTAGTATAAATAGAATTTTAATATTTTTTATAATTATGTCAGAAAATTTGTTTAAATCTGAAAAATGTTTTTTTTTTTCAAAATCAAATTTCTCAAAAACTGTACGTATAGGAGCAAAACGGTTTGCGGATTTGTAATCAGCGTACAAAACACTATAAGAATCACCTAGTGGGAATCGGAACACAAAAAAAAAGTTAAGATTTGTTGGACAGTGTTATTTGATAAATATCATTACTATTCTACATTATCCATTATCTGTAGCACCCCCTCCAAATAACCGACCTCCAAATACAACCATTTAGCGATCGTACCCCAGGCCCATTTGGCGTGCCGCACTATAACACGTTTTTTGTTAATATCTCGAAAGCGAACCAACATTTTGGCAAAGAAAAAAGTTGTTTAGAATCACCTTAGCAATCATCCCTCTTCGGCTGTCAAGGTAGTCGCGTGACACCCTGTATATCCTACTAAATATGAAAGGTTTCATCACGAACGATACATTCCTTGCAGCATAAACGCCGGAAGATATAAATGAAGTATTACATTTTTTGCGATAAAAGTCGTTAGGAATGAAAAAATGCAAAATGTCTTCTTGACGGGACCAAGTGGGGAAAATACTCTACAAGATGCAAAAAGTTTCGTTCCGATTCGTCTATCCGTCTCGGAGTAATCGGCGAACGTACATGAAATAGCACGTTTTTTTGCAATAAAAAGCGTTCGGGATGAAAAAACATAAAATGTTTTTTTAACGGGACCAATCGGGACACATACTTTAGAAGATGCAAAAGGTTTCGTTCCGATTGGTCCATCCGTCTTGGCGTAATCGGTGAACATACATAAAAAAACAAAAAAAAAAAACAAAAAAAAAATACATACACATCGAATTGAGTATCCTCCTCCTTTTCGAAGTCGGATAAAATTAAGTAAAACATAGAATAAAAGAGAAATAGTCGCATTCTTCTTTCTTATACTAATAAATAAATGAAATTTCGACTTTATTTAATTTTATTTTTTTTACTACTCTGTTCGTGAAATTAATTAGCATAGAATATGTCATCCACCAGGATTTTCTTATAGAACGAAACGTTGTAAACTCTACTTTTTTTATTTTATAGTTATTGTTGTAATATTATATTACATTAATAAAAATATATTTTTACATACCTTCAACCTCTAATTACTCTAAGCATCAATAAAATGAACTAACAAAGGGATGAATTAGAAATCCTTGATAAGAAAATGAAAAGTCGTTCATTTAACATTGCAATCTAATTTAATAACAAAATATAAACGTATCATTTGTAATAAAATTAATCACAATGATAATAACCATAGATATGTGTAATCATCAGACTAACTGTGATATTAACATAACAGGGCAAGAATAGCTTTGAACATATAAGTGTTAAAGACAAGAAAAAAAAACCAAATCCTAGTTATAGTTAAAACGGATGTGACGGACAAGGGAACCGTGGTCGAAGGCACGTTTTAGAACCGAAAGTGTAGAATTGGAACGGATGTGTATTTCCTTGTTTTATTTCTCTGAACATTAGGACAAAATTGTAATCAATCGCTTATCCGTTTACCGTAAATCCAATAATGTTTGTAATAATGAATTAGCGTTATATTAAATGTACCGATGAGAGATTTAATAATCACACTTTCTCCCTATCTCTCTTCTCCATTCTCTCATTCTTCCACACTTTCATACTTTCTCTCTCTATCACTCATTCTCACCATCGTTTCTCTCTTTTCCCTTCTAATTAACATTATCGGTGAAGGATCAAGAATCGAACCAGGATCCGAACAGAAGATGCATTTCCTGGATCGTTCTTCCTTTTGAAACATCATTTTTTGAACACGACACCTGATGAAGCAGATGACTTAAAACCAGAAAATTCGAGTTTCGATTCTTTTTTTGTTGGATCTATAGGATGGATCATTGATCACCGTATTTTCGAAGCGATTATAAAATTTGCTAGGTTTACTTCTATACCCTTTTAATCTGATAATTTCCTAAATTTATTTCAATAAATGGTATCTAATATTAATATTTAATATCGATCTTCTAAAAAGCTTCTCATGTAATCTTGCTCTACTATCTAAGAAGTCGATGGAGCATCAAGAATATTTATTGGATTCAATTAATCAAGTGCTATTATCAATAACTCTGAGATTTTAAATTGATTGAAAAATCAGGATTTTAAAGGCTTGAAATTTTAATTACAAATTAGACTGCGTCAATGATTGTTCTAATTTCAGAGAAGAAAATTCTGAATAGTAAGATCGATGATCCACGAATCGTGCGGTTAAGTTGAAATCACTAAAATCATTGAGACTCGTCTTCTGGGCAGGAAAAATTATTTGCTTTTAAAGAGAAATACTTCATTAATTAATAAATTCATTAATTTTGAATTTTTAGATTCTTAAACTCGTAAACTTTTAAATTTTCAAATTTCATGATGTTTAATTTCTTTTTGAAAATACTTATTTTCTCCATAAGGTGTCGATTAATCTCTTCGTTTCACCCTTTCTCACTCTCACTCTCTCTCTCTGTGCTCTCCTCATCGCAACGCTCAAGAAGTAAAAACACGAATGTCGCGTGGAATCATCATCGCAAAATTGCAAGTGAATAATTCCTCTAAAATACGCGTGACGGTAATCATAATAACAATAACAATGATAATAATTAATGATGACAGTAATAATAATGACAATAATATCAATAAGAATAGTAGTGAACGTTTACAATCTATTAAATATTGTTTTTTTTTCTTTTTTCATTTTTTTCATTAGTCGGAAGGGACGTCGCTCAGATTTGTTTCATTTTTTTTCTTTTTTTTCTTTTTTTTTTTTTTTTAATTTTCGAGGCACAGTTGGATCGCACGTCCGCTAGAATCGTTTTTGTCTTCGTCCACCGAAAACGGCGGCCTCCCACTTCCTTTTATTATTATTTCTTCGTCTTTGCCGTATGTTTTCTCATATTTATCCTTTCTCCTTTCATTTTGTGTGTTCGCCCTTCGCCTTGCTATGTTCCGCATTGTGTTCTATCTTCAATTTCCTCGTATTTGTTTAAGCTCGAAAAGGTTTGTTCTTCGAACAACATTCACAGTTCGTTTCATAAGCCGCGTCTACGCTAATTAAAATTTACCTCGATGTACAAATTTATACACATGTGTCAACTTTGAACAAAACGACATAAATTTTGTCTAGCGTAGACACTGTTCTAGCCATTCGACGCGTACGATCGCAGAATGAAACGAGGAAAGGAAACAGGATTTAAAGAAAGTCGCCCTTTCGTTTGCTCCTTATTTCATTGGCAACGAACAAGATATGTAAAGTGCATCGACACGCTTAGTTCGATGAGAATAAAATTTCCGTTTAAAAATTTTTTCTGCAAAAGCGACGTACGCGTCGAAATCGGTCATGATCGGCCGTGTTCGTCGTGCAAAATCAACCGAGCTGTACCTCAATATATATGTATTATATGTACGCGCACGCATGCACAGTGGACACACGCACACGCTATATACAATTAATTTAATTTCATATGCTTACGTAGGGTGGATCGCAAAAATGTACGGAATCGATAAAAAACTGTTCGACGCGGACACGAAGTAGCGTAGAGACGAAAGGAGATGTCGAAATAGCCGAAGACCTCGTTTTATTTATCGTCTATCCTTGCAGCCGCGAACCTTGATCAGTTTCCTCGATTTATACACGGAAATGGTAAGTTTCCGGTGGTTTACTTTGATTTTCGGCGTTCATGGGACTCGCCATTAAAAATATAATTTGAACAATCATATTTTTATAAATATACATTTGGATATCAAAAAATTAATTAAATTGGAAATTCATCCATCATGGACCACTATTTTTCTTTTATAAAATAATATCATTTTCCTGATTTTAATATGTTAATCATTTATACAAGTACAAACAGCAAACTATACATATAGAACAATTGCAATTATTTTTCACAAGAAATGATTTAAAAAAATTATATCTTTCTATGGCGATCCATGTTTCGTGCAAGTTACGCGGCTTCAGGTGTAGCGTGCGCGTCGAGCGCACCGGAAACGCACGGGAGGAACTTGATTCTTCGTTATCAACGTCTGTTCAACCCGTTCCCGAGGAATTTGGCTGACCCGGGACCGGTGTGTATTAGCATAAAGGTGTCATTGAGAAATCGCTGTTAATAAAATTGGCGTGCGACTCGTCGAGTATCACGCAGAAGACGCAAATTGTTCACACGACTTACTAGGTTTAATTACAAGCTAAGGTGATTAACCGGTTAGCTGTCGATTGAACTTGGTAATTCGGTTTTCACGGCGCGGTGCCGCTTTTTGTGCGCGCGTACCATCCTGATTCTTTCCTCTCTCGGTGATCGCGCAAAAATGTCGGCGATCGATTCGACAACAGGCTTCTTTCGATCCTTTTAGACGAAGATAATTATAATTAACACTCTAAGTTTCAAGTTGAAATTTTACAAAATTAATTTCATTTTCAGTGAATTTAGTGCATATTCTATTTGCAATTAATAGACCATTCAAAGTGTTAATTCTGCTTTAGAAAACAGAATAGGTTTGAATTTTAGTTTAAATTTAATTTCAAATTTCTACCCACTGCAATTTCATCAATTTTATTCTCCTCAATTGCTAAGAAAAAACAGATTATATTCCTTTGCATGCTCTCTCGCTTGTCATCGATAGATTTGTATTTTAATTACGACGATGACCAACGACGAATTAATTTGAGGAAGAGGTAAGAGAGACAGGATTCGAATCGCCTAAACCGTTTTAATCATCAATCATTAGCCTCTCGCCAACTCGCAACGTAATAATAGAAAATCGTAGGAAACGTTGTAATCGGTGCATACGTATACGGCGGAACAAGTTAACTTTAGTCAAGCAAAGAAGATTTTTGTTTCAATCCTAAAGAGGGGAAAGTAAAAGTTCGTACGTGAATGATTTCTATTTATCATTGCGATCGCTCGAAAAGGATATATCGATGAAAGAATATAAAGACGAACGTGTTCTTGTTCTATCTATTCGTTCAAATCGTTGGAACGATCGAAGTATATCGAAGAAAAAAGCTAACGACGAAAATGCCTACGGTTACTCGACCTTTGTTTTTTATTTCTTATTTTCTTTCAGATCCGTACGGATTTTCTTTACGCAACGTATTATTCTTTCGATACTTTACGCTCTCTCATTGCTATTCTATTTTCAACTCCTCGATATTTTTCGCCACGCACCAGTTTCGCTACTTGGTTGAAGCAGATCCTGCTGAAAGTAGCTTCTTCGAGGTGCATATCGCGTGCGATCGACTAGGTGTCTTTAGAATTCAATAGTTTCAACACGACACTCTGTGAACTTTTATTTTTTTATTTGCTGCAACGAGGGATGACAATGTGACGAAAGGTACACCAATTAACACTTTGAGGGTATTTAATTTTAGATTTCTTTTCACTTTCAAAATATTATGTTTGGAAGCTTTTATAATTTACATCACAAAATTGCCATATTATATTTCAAATGAAAATCAGCGTATAATAGATAAAAGAAATAAAATTTACTTTTAAATCGCGAGGTATAAATTAAATAAATATTAAAATATTTAACAACGACCATCAAAGTGTTAAATTCGATTCCAAACTGCGAGACGACGAATAAATAAAAAAAAAATAGTATCTTCAGATGAGCTGAGCGCGTTGTAACAAATATTACATGGCGACATACATATAACAGATCGAAAAGGGTTCAATCTGATTAGGAAGAACATTTCAACAAACGCATGAACAATGGTTAACAAATAACAAATCGAAGAAGTGCATGGCATAAAATGGCTTGAACTCTCTTTCATTTTCGATTCAACAAATAACTTAACACGATAGAAAATGAAAAACTTTACGGAACAGCAACGAAATATTGGTAACGAGAAGGGTATCGCCAATGGACAGCAACGATTAGATAAATTTCGGTAGACTTGTACGGAATGTGAGAGAACAACCTCGTAGACTGTTGATTAATTAACGCTATTACACGCTAAACGTACGTTACAAGCTACAAGAGTGTACACTAACAAAAGAGACAATAGAGAATGGTATTCAATGGGAACAACAACTTTCAGCAAAATCCGACGTGGCCAAGCGGGACACGTCCCTTTTTTCAACAATCACTCTTTTATCTTCTTATTTCTTCTTTTTTCCTCTCTTATACTACCTTTTCTTTTTTGTCATTTCAATTTCTTTTAATAAGAATCTCAAGACTATTTCAACTTTTCGTTTCTTCATCAATTCAGATAGGGTATTTAGAAACTGCTCTTTTTCTGACCCACTTTAACGTTCGTAAACTCGTATTTATAAATGTGTAGAATAAAGATCGTTACGTGCTATCAACATTTTTCTCTTGTTTTCTACTTTTGGCTCGTTACATATGCTTCTTTCCTTTTTCGGTATCTTGTCTGTGTCTGTTTTCAGATATTATACATTCGTACATCCATTCAGAATACTTTGTTTTCCTCTATTTCTTTCGTATCGTAGGAAAAAAAAGATCATCGTAGATCTTACAATAATTCTTTATTATTCTCTCTCACTCTCATTCTCTCAACGTTTCTCTCTTTTTTTTTTCTATTATTCATCTTTAAATTTCTTTCTTTCAACAACTCTCGTGTTCTCCCTAGACTGCTTTCGCTCGGCAATAATAATAATAATTAATTAATTATAGTAATAGTAGTAGTCGTAACGTGTAATGATAATCGTGTAATAACAATGATAATAAATCAATAATCGTATTTTTTGTTATTTTTTGTTTGTTTTATACAACAATCACACGTAGAAGCGACGAAGTTAGAGTAGTAGAAATAACTATTCCTTAAGTTTTTAATTTATGTTTATATTTATATTTATAATATAGTATCTGCAATATATTAAATCGTTTCATCATATTCACCATCATTATCATCGTCGTCTTCCACTCCCTTTTGCTATCTGTGTATCAATATACATACGCGGTAGGTTTCGGGACGTGCACGTGCGCCTACACACACGTGTACGCGCGTTTTCGCGGAAGCAAAGTCGCGGGAACCGCTCAAATCCGCTCCGTTCCTCATTCGAAATCAATCTAATCGCGAGGTTACTCTCATGAGATACTAGAATCGCGAAATCACATACACGAGATATTAAAACCGCGAAATACTCTCAAGATATTAGAATCGCAGTATTACATTTGTGAGAATACTGGTATCACAAAACTGTGGAATTCTGTTGATACTAGACTCGCAGCGTTACACCGAACAGATACTAGAAGTCGCAAGATTACGCTCGTGGTACACAAAAATCGCGAGATACTAGTATCTCGAAGGTACTAAATTCGCGATTCTACGTTCATGAGATACAAGAACCGCAAGATACTAAAACGCAAACTACGAATCAACGTAAAATGGAACACTCTTTCATTAATCTGAAACGTGAAACGTGAAACGCAATCCACGTTTGCCTAACATATCCGAGTAGAAAGTAGAGAGATACTAAAATAGAAGATTATCCACTAAAATCGGATCCGCGACTCCCGCAGACTTCTCGGAACCGCGGTAAACTCTTCAAGAAGTCCCGGTTCGAGAACGCTAGAAACGCGCGTGCATCATTTTCGCGCGAATGCACGCGAGCGCGCCCCTATACATATTGTAACATATATATATATATATATAAATAAAAATGTTCCTTCGATATTCTCGCGGATGGAGACCCCTCTTCGCTTCGCACCCTTTCTTCTTTTCTTTCGTTTAATCCATCCTTGTCCCCACCGCCGAACATGCATTGGTATCTCTTTTTCTAGATAATCTTGTTTATACTCTCGTAAAGTCGTATCTAGTAATTAATAGAGGATGTACGAACGTGTAGAAAGATCCATCGTGCTTCCTTCTCCCTATCATTTAATGAAGATTTAAATTCGACGAAGAAAGTGTTCAATCGTAGATCACCCAAGTTCCCCGCTAATTTCTAATCTAAATCTACTTCACTTGTCCCTCTTCATTTTTATATCCGACGTACGTCCGAAGTGGATCTCTGTTCCTCTTCGTCTTCCTTTCTTTATCCATCCGTCTCAGTGAACGTAGCCCTTCGTTACATCTCTGATTTCATTTTCTTTACCCTCGGTTTCTGTACTTTCTTCTAGGTCTAACTGCAATTTCTCCCTGTTCGACCACCATGTGCTCTAGGGGACTCGACAATCGACTGGTGAAATTAAATGGATTTCGCTAGTCGCGAAATTGCCTTACGACGATGAGGTAACAACGTTTAAACATCGCTCTTCTCTCCCTCTCGGACAATCGCGCGTATCCTCTTATTTATACGTGTACATGTGTACGTGAATCAAAAAAGTATCGACTTCTGCGAGAACAATAAAGATTATTGATAGAATCATATGTGTGTCAATACTTTTTTCATCCACTCTATGTGTGTAGCTGTTGCAACATTCTATTCTCAGGAAGAAGTTTCGTTTCCAGCTCATTCTGGTGCTTATTTACTCAAAATTATCAATGTATCAATTTTAAGCATCAATTTTTAAATCAATTCTCAATAGCTTCACAAAATATTCATTGAATTTAATCATTTTAATCTTGATGAATTTTGGAATGTATACATATATGTAACATATATATTAAATAAAAATTAACAGATCCATTATTTTCAAACTCTTGTTATTGGAACAATAACTAGCGATTGTATGTAGTGTTCAAGTGGGCGTGGGTGTGTGTGTGAGCGCACACGCGCGAATCTACATGGGATTCGTCGTAGCGAGAGACGAGAACGAAAATTCGAAGAAGAAAGTTACAATGGAAGATTGTTCTGTACAGCGACTATCGTTACGAGCTAAATACGTGGTTGCCGACGTGCCGGAGCCATCTTTCTCGATGGTCGTAACCACCGCATCGCCACTTCCCTTCTTCCGTGCACACTTCAACTTCCGCTCTTTTTTCCTTGATTACAACCGACGTTCACCGCTGACCCCCTCGATGTCCAGCATCGATGCGATCGGAACATTTCACTCTTTCTCTTATTTTTCATTTAATTTTTCTCTCCGATACGATCCTCAAGATTGAACTTAGTACAAGCTCTTCTTCTTTTCAAATTTCATGACTACATTTTCTTTCTCGACTCATTGTTGTTTCTTTCTCTGATATCTTCGTCCTAAAACTTGAACATTACTAAAACTTCCCTCGAGTATACTCTGTTTAATTTCTTCCATCGCTCTATACGTCTTCGTTCTTTTATTAATTCATGAAGAGCAAACAAGTTTGTCTAGGTTTCCTTCTTCTCTTCACCGGAAATCATCCTCTCGTCGATGCTGCGGCACGGAGCGCGATATTTCGTGGTAAGTACGCTGAGCAGGTACCGTTCGCGATTTTAAAAAACGTCGAATTTTCTTTATTCCGACACTATCGCGGCCTTCCTTACACCATCTCTCCTTTTGTCGCGCTTATAATACTAAGTGTGTACGTGTTACGATAAATAAATAAATAAATAGATACACGCCTGCATTATGTATTTATCTATTTATCCGATTGAAAGGTTGTAGTCTGATAGCTTCTCTGCGAGTGTAGGTTTATGTTCGTGTGTATATGTGTGTTGTTTAAGGTGTTGTTGCACGGTTTCGTTCGCTCCAAGTGTCAAGGCGACGAGCGTCCACCGACACATCGGCCCTTCTTCTTCCTCTTGTTCTTTTGCTTCTACATCCTCCCACGTTTATCTATTATCATAGATCGCAATTTACTTGTGGTTGAAGGAGAACGGCGACGGACCTGTTACCGCGCTTCGGTGGAAATGCACGTTTTGCCATTTGTTGTCCCTCTTGTGCCACACGCGGCTCTCCTCGCTCTGATGAGTGTGTGCTACCCCTTGTCTGAAATATTCCATCAGATCTTCATTAAATTTTCTCCTAAACGATGTGGCCTATATACATATGTATAGGGTCCGGTGTAATTTAGGATTACCCATTTTAGACAACGGTAAAGTTAAGGGATGAAACTTGCGCCGTATTTTGGGAATATCTAGGGAAACTTAATAGTGTCTATTATTTATATTTATATAATTCTAAAATCCAACTACAAATATTTTTAATTAGAAATTTACAATTTAATACGATTGATGGATTTTTATGAAAGTCGAAGGGTAACTGAAACATAGGTGTCAGTCAATGACAATCAAAGAGTTTAAATTAACCAAGATAGTAATACTGGGATATTGGAATTTTACATTTATCTCTTGAATAAAAATAAAACTTACTTGTCCATGTACTGTGTCAACCTGACATACGCGATGCACGCTGCGTCCTCGCCCAGAAGGTGCACATGAGGATTCAGGATCGTCGTGTTGACGGCTTTGCAGTTTTTCCCCAGGACTGCTTATAGATTTGTTTGAAAAGGAAAATACTCGTTATTCGTGGGTCTGTGCAGCGCAGAAAGAGAGCTTTCTTCGCGATAAATGTAAAACGAAGCGAGAGAAACGTTTCCAACAGCTTCTCGTAGCATTTAATAGGCATGAAAGGGGAAAAAATCGTACAAAGGAGAAGCAGCATCGAATCTTTTTCACTCGCGAATCTTTTCTGTAATTTCGTGCATTTCAGATTATTAAATTGTTATTAACTCTTTTAGTGACAAACAGAAATTCCAAAATTTAACACCTTCAAGAGATAATAATAAATGCAAGAAAAATGATATTAGTATTTTAAATAGGTTCAGCCCCTGTAAGGATTAAAATTCATAAATTGATCGAAAGTGCAATAAGAAGCGTATCGATGTTGAATTTCAAGCGGTTGCAACTAAGAATGCACAAACTGGGATAAATATTAAAAAAGTAATTCGCGTAGAGACTGGCACGGCATGCAGTAGCAACGAAACTAAAAACCATCAAACGTAAGCACAATAGTGCGGCGTTTACGATTAATCGGTGATGCAAATGAGTCATAATTACCATTATCAAAGTAAAATTTGTGGAAATCCATTCCCTCGACTAAATTACCTAGAGCCTCTGGCTCGAACGCGGTCAGATGTGGATCACAAATTTTCCTGGAAATGCAAACGTCATTAGAAAACAGGTGAATTCGAAATTCTCCCGTGACTTGATTAGCATCGAACCGAAATTTATATTCATAGGGGAAAGAGTATCATTCCATCAAAATTCCAAGTCGACATTCATATTTTCTCCTGGGTAAACATTACTATGCTGATTAAACTATCCACCTCAACTACGTTATTTTTGCCTGGGCAAATTTCTAGTTTAAAGGTCGACTAATTAAATGAATTATCGAAAAAATTGTATTTTTAATATGTTTACAAAAAAATTCAATATTCTGTGATTCTATTTGATAAAAAAAAAAAGAAAATGGATTGTTGATTGAGTCGTGTCACTTACGTGTACGCCTCGAAATCGCCGATGTTGATGCTCTCGATCAGCTGTTCGGTCATCTTGATGATCTCCTGACGGCGTGCTGGAATCGTCAACAGATTATCGATCAATGCAAATCGGCCGATCGGCACGCCCGATCAACACAACCGATCCGGGCTCATACCGACACATCGTACGGTACAACAGTCACATGCACGAAATCTCTTTTTTAAATATACTCTTATTTTTTTATCAACTTCTACATCCTACGCCAAAAAATTCTCCTTTATCGATGCATGTACCTCATTGGAGTCGTGTCAAAAATCAAAAGTCGCATTACCTGTTGTCTTTTATTCAAAATTCTACTCCATTTCATATCGAACTCCAATGATATACGATCCTCGAATGATTCTTATCTAAATTATTATTAAACTCTCAGAAGTCGGTGCCGGGCCTCTGATGACCCTACGTATGACTTATAATTAGAATTTCTATTTTCTATATTTTCTGCTGTTTATTTTTTTTTTAACATGAAAATTTGAAATACAACCCGGCCACCGCCTTTCGAGGGTTACAAAATTTTCTTCTATAACTAAAAATCCTGGTTCGAGTCATTCGAGGAGGATATTTTCGTTGGTAAACTTTCGGTTTCCACTTGACGAGCACCGATTATCGTCGCGATATTTCACGAGAACAAAAGAACGAACGTTCGCGTACAATAAAAAAGCGATATCGGTGCGATTCAGTCAAATGGAAACGATCGAGCGTGTCTCGTGGTTGCACGCGTCGCACGAATCGGCTCGGTTCCTCTTCGATACGCTCGGCGCGGCGAACCGTCGAGACTGGGGAATTTCGAAGGCCCTTTGCAGATACTCCACCGCATCGGGCGACAAACGGAATCGATATCCATAGAAAAGAGAGAGAGAAAAAAAAAAAAGAGAGACAGGTTTCTCGTTGTTCACGAGCGACGTAGTACATATAACGCTGAAATAAAAGTCGCCGCCGATCGCTAGAAGCTTCTTCAAAATCGTGTAATTTACCAATAACACTGTGTCCTCTTTATCAAGTTTCCTCTATGTTAACCCTTTGCGAATTTCAATCATACCCTACTGTCCTATGTGCCATCAACTCGAAATTTCAATAATTTAACACTCGGTACCACGTACTCGGACATTTAGCGTTGTGGATGGAACACGCGATTTCGAGTGTCTATCAAAAAATCGGAAAGCCAGCTCGCAAAGGGTTAAGAACTCCTCGTTTCTCTTCTACCCATCCACAAAACGCAACTTCTAGTTGCAAAATTCTTAATATATACAAAATTCCAATTCCAACTGTACCGTTGAGAAAAAAAAAATCAAATTTCACCCTTTCTCAGCCGAGTTGAGAGAAAAAAAAAAAATCAATAAATAAATGAATGGCAGAGATGGAGAAAAAAAATTGTCTTGTGATCTTCTCTCGTCAACGATGAGGAAAAATTATGTAACCACCACCGTCAGAGTCACAGGGTTGCTTAACTATCCTACTGCGCACCACAACGAGCGAAACAACAAATTTACAATTACTTCTATCTCGATTCTACGCGTTTCATGTTTTCAAGTACATTTTGTTTATATATATGTCGTTGAGAAAGAAAGAAAGAGAGAGCGAGAGAAAGAGAGAGAGAGAGACAGACAGAGAAAGTATGTGTGTGTATGAGAGAGAGAGAGAGAGAGAGATTCTTTTGTTACCTGAACACTGGGAGTTCGTCGATAGCTGGCTGCAGGTCTTGATAGGACACACGATTCTTATTTCTACAAGCAATATATATAGAATATATACATACACATAGTTAAGATATCGGTACCCTTTGTTAAACGTTTTTGTTTTTTGTGTGTTTTTGTTTCGCTATGAAATCGCTTCAGCGCAGGCAGCAGGACTTTTCAGCGTGATTCAAGCGGTCTCGCGGAGGATTAAGATCCGCGGATACAGGGTACTCTTGACTTTCAATTATTTTAACATGTTCGCTGTGGGCTGACTTTGAATATTAATAACAATCAATTTTAGAAGAATTTAGAGCTCAACAAGCTCATCAATTAGAAAATATTCTCATCGTCCACAATGAATGTGTTAAACGCTTTGAATTAAAACACTCACTTGCCATTTTTATCACGCGAATCGGAATGGAAGCGTAGAATCGTTCGAATGAATAAAAAATATCACGGAGCTTAATCCACACGCGAAAGGATTAACCGTCTTCTCCGCTCTCGTCTCCGTACTTAGCACGCTTTTACGCTTCTTCGTGTTCCCCTCCTGCCGAAGAACGCGTCGCTTTCTGCACTTTATCTCAAAGATATTCCATTTGGTCATCGAGAAAATTCGTTTCTCCGTGTTTCTCTGTTTGCACTCGTTACCACGTGGGCGGGGGCCATTTTACGGATAAGATTCTTAAGATGAGAACGAGCGATGAAACAATTGGATCAATCAATTGCTTGGAGTGTTTTCAATCTCGATGGGATTTAAGCAAGCACGAGTAGTTGCTTGGAGAATCGAGGCGGTCGTTTTCAGTAGTCGAAACGATGATATTGCATACATTTACGTTGTACAAGGTGTTTCAATCATTTAATCATCTATCATTTTCGAAACTATTTCAGCTCGTTTCTTTTAAATAACGAGCAATGTTTGAATTGAACAATATCTAATACACCTTATACAATGATACGTTTGATCTTTTTAGATATTAGATTGCAAGAATCTAAAACTGTGATCAACAAATTTAATCATTGTCTACTAGCGTACTAGCGTAAATTATCATTAACTACGAAGCCTGTCCAACAATTATGTCCTTATTTTTTTCACACAACACAACGTATTGGGTTTCATAAGTTTATTGGTACGTTCACAGTTTTGCGCCTACACATGGATTACACGTGGACTTTGTAGCGTTCAGCGTGGACGATAGCCTAATCGAACGTTTCTACGCGACATAAAATACCATTTCGAAGAATTTCAATGTTATTTCAAGAAAAAATCTCGACTAATCTGCTCTAGAATGCTTCGAACATAGCTTAAGAATATTTACGTTTTTTCTCAATAAAAATGATATTTTAACGATATCTGCACACTAATAATAATAATAATAATAATAATAATAATAATAATAATAATAATAATAATAATAATACGGGACGAACAACGGGGACACACAGAGACAAATTCCACCAAGTCTTTGTTAATTATCCTTCGTTTACATCTTTCGTTTACGCGATTGTGCGTGTCGCCGTATTTTTGAAATTGAAAAAGAAAAAAAAAATGGGGTTCGTGCGAGAAAGTGAGAATCTTGAAACGATTCGATAATATATTCTAGTTGTACGATTGCTAGAGTGCTGTAGAATCCTTTTAATATTCCTGCGTATCCGTTGTCGACGAGCGCTGCTTGCCTGACCAACAACGATACTTACTACTTGCGCGTAACTGTCCGTCAAAATAAAACCTCTTCACTACTCGCGAGCATACCGTTCGCCACACGATAAACCAATTCTTAAAACTATCTTTGTAACTGTCATTCTGTATAGAGTAATAATTTGAGCGGTGATTTGTCCGAACGTTTGCAAGTAGAAATACAGCAATCATTTTGCTATTTTTCAATGGGACTTGTCTGATCGTGTAGCGAAGATGATCTCGAAAAATCTACTGAGAAAATAAAGAAGTTACCAGGGTCACAACGTGAACACCAAGCATTTGAAGAGAAATGGCACCCTGGAAGGATCATCTCCAAAAGGCAAAACGAGACATGCTGTGTTCGCGACGCTCGACGAGTCTCCAACTTTTCAATCATCTTTAAAGTTGAAATTAAAAATCAGAAACAGCCAAAAGAGATTTGAACGTGTGAAGTGGAAGAATTAATGTTACCTGCTGACAAATAAAATAAATTCTTTGGTCAACTGAACTTTTTACAGTTGATATTTATATGTTTCAAAGGTTCGCGTCTGCTCCCCTGGTTTCTTTTACTATTAAAAGTAAAAGCCGAGAGGAAAAATGAAATTTGAAAATTCCTTTTTTAAAAGATATCGTCGAGCGTCGTTTGTATTTCAGATTTTACGACAAGCAACACCGTTTAAGCTTCGAGCAGGCATCATCGTCCTTCGCGCTCGTTTTTTTCAACTTCTCTGCGGCCTTACCGGCGTTGGTTCTCTTCTTACCGTCTTCCGGTTCGTTGCACTCGACTAGACCAAGCTGCCGGTATCCAGCACCGGTGTTCCGGCGTACATCCGGTTCTGATACATTCGGTTCGTTTTGTCATGCAATTGAAATCGACGCGGCAAGCCAGCCACGAGTGCAATCGGAACATGCAGAAACACACACATAGGACACTGGGTCATCCAAAATATTTTACGAGATTAGAAGACAACGAACAAACTCTTTCATCTCTGGTCGATGATTAGATGAGAAAGGATCATGCATGGTTCAGGTTTTTAATACTTAAATTAATAAATTGATATTTTTGAGGGATTTCGATTCAAGACGGTTCTTCATAAATTTATGTAAATGAAAGCAATTTCAATTATTCTAAATTGGTTATAAATAAAAAAGAAGAACGATGCGAAGTTAAGCGTGGAAGCATTCGATTCGGGCAAAAACTACTTCATCACGTCCCATCTGCCGTTGCTGGATAAAAGTGTCTTCCATTTGCGAAATGGGAACTTGATTTATGGGTCTCGTTCGCGATAAATGCACTTTTGACTATTATGGGAATCAATCAAGCCGCACAATGCGATGGCAACCACATTTCCGCACAATGAAACGCATTATCGGAAGATTATTGCGAGCGATGCAACGCGCTTTCTGCAATTCTACGAGCAGATTTCCACGAAAACAGAGAAAAAAAAACACATGTACAATCCGTGTATAACAAACTTAATCATCTTAATTATCGGAAAAATTGCAATCTCCCTGTTACGGTTTTTATTTATCACGATAAAATTCATCGTTTATTTCGTTATTGTATCACGATACTAGTAATTTCCATGAAACACGATCGTGGACAACCGTTGTTGACTGCTAGTATTTTCCAATATTACGAAAACGATCCAATTTCATCGACACCCCCGCACGCGGCAAATATTAATGAAAAAATAAAAGTTCCTCTTGCAATTGCACACCTGTTCCTATATTCGATACGTTCCTATATACCCTCAACAGGTTACGTGATGTATAAAACTCAATCGTTTTTGTACAGCGATTCGTATGTTGTCTGTTTCTTTTTGACAATAAAAGTAGAGTGTACTATTATAAAAAGATAAGATATAAAATTGGATTCTCGTCTTTAACCACCCTCAAAAATATAAGAAACAAAGGAGGAACAAGAAATAGCATAAATTTATCATGGAACCAGAGAAGAAAGCACAGATGTTAAGATACTTATCCACCAAAGGAAAGATCGAAATGAAAAATAAATAATTTCATTTAGAACCTTAGGTTTCATATTAAGAGGTTCGAAAAAATCATGAAAATATTCCAGTAAGATTTGCATTCCAGAATAATGCAATTAAAATAGTGCAACTCGATTAAAATGCAACCGTTACGAATGTAATGGATGTAAATGTTGCTCCTTTGGTGGAGTAGGTAGCTTTACAGGTTGTAAAATGAATACAGACCGTTACTCGCGGAGTCGTAGCGTCGCGACGATGCGATGGGCGTCGCCGCGTTGTTGTTGCCGATGTAGACGGCCGCCGGTGACGAGGGTGATGCGCCAGTCTGGCTGTTCTGGCTGTTGCTGCTGCTACCACTGCTGCTACCGCTTCCTGCACTGCCAGCTAGTCATGCAACCAACCAACCAAAAGACGAGCTACTGTCAGCTTCTCGGAACAGCATCCTCCCGGTCGCTTCTGGCTTTCTTTTTGTACCGTCTCATGACGGTTCTATCATTGCATTCTCATATTTCATTGCATTGCATTGCATTGCATTGCATTGCATTGCATTGCATTGTCAATTACAATTAATTTCATTTCATTCACATTTCATTAAGTGTAATACGGAAAATTGAAAAATTGAACGTGTTAAGTTATCTCATACCCGAAATGAGCGGTTTAAATTATACCTAACCTTAACATCCTCTCTGTGTTCATCTATGATATTATGAAATTTGAATAAATAAATAAAAAAACATGAGAATGCAACGAATCGTCACGTCGATAATGATATCGAATACCAACAGAAAAAAAAGGAAACAGAAAGAATCATTGGAAGCGAAATTTGGCAAAATGCAGGCGATTACGAGGTGCTCGTCAGCAAACGAGCTTCGACAAAGGGAACAACACAGTGTGAAATGCTAAATTGATTGATATTAATCGATCGTTCCAGATCAGACAGTACTGGCTGGTGTGTGATCAATTCGATATTCGAATGAAAAGCAAAAGCAATTTTCGTTGAGTCTTGTGGACAAGAGGGAATGATCGAGGGCTGTGAACGAACGATTTTGTGCTAGGTGGCAAACGGAAGTGACCAGAGACAGGGGTCAAAAAGCTTGATAAAAAAAGGGGGTGTGAAAGATTAAAGGTCGCGAAGCGTGAACTCGTTGCAGGTGAATGGATTCGTTTTGAACGGTGTAGCCAGAGTAAAAAGATCCAAGTCATGCTTCGACTCTGAAAAGGGACTCACCGATTTCTGCCTAGCGACTTGCTCTTCTTCCTTGCCTTTTTATTTACAACCCAAAAATAAATAATCATCTGATACGTAAACTTATAAAATTGTAAATTTCCTTTTCACTTTAAATAAAAATCATCGAGAAAATATTCGAGATATCCGATTCTATATATTATTGAAAATAATATATAAAATAGAATATTAAAAACATTTTTCTGATAATTTTTATTTCATTTGAACACTCTTCTTACACCTCACTAATCGAATTAATGAAATATTTTAATTAGAAATTTTTTATTCAAGTTCACCCGATTCATTTCCGCTCTCGATTCTGGCAGAAATCGCGAGAGAAGAAACCTTACCGATTCACCGGTGCTCGCCGTTTGAATTTTGGTTATCCATGCGCTCGATTCTTATATCCTGCGGACACGAGCACGATAAAAGCGCATTTCTGGTAACAGCCGCAAAGGCAGCCTGCAATTTCGCTCGGGCTATACGGCGTTCCTTGTCGGGACCGACCGTAAACTTTTGCTACTGCTGGCCGGCGATAAAAAAAAATCAAGAACCTCGTAATATCACGACAATGCTCCAATTATTCTCGTTCGCGTTCATATTGTCTCAAAGAACGAACGACGTACGAATAAAGAAAGCGAGGAGCATATCGCGAGATTTCGAGGGGATGTTTTTAACCCCCCTTGCAAGTGGCATTTGATCCATCGTCCGATGATGCTTGTAAGATTGTAGGATCTTTGATTTATGTTCACACGTGTCCTTCGTTACAAGTACATAACCAGAGTACGTAGTAATATTTTTATATTGACTGTGAGAAATAATTCTTTCCTTAACAAAATATAAAATTTGAAGAGAACCAAAATACTATTATGTTGCATTAAAAATATTGTGAATTATGAAAAAATAGATGAAATTATTTTCAAATTCAATATATAAAAAATGAAGCAGTAATGCAATTTTTTTTGGCAATAATCAAACGAAGTGTTTATAAAATTAAATTATGATTGTGTGTTACATTGGATTCCTTCGTTCATTCGAATACTGTTTTGATTAAATATAGACTCTTTAGGTGGGACAGGCTTCATAGATTTTTCTATTCACAATTTCTTCTCCCTTCTTTCATTTTTGTTTACCTCTTATTCAACCCGTACAATATATTTTCTTTTACATAAATACGATCTTTCTTCTGTAATTTTCCAGACGCTGGATTAGAAAAAATCGTGATCTGAATGTCGATAATACGATAAAAATTTGCTAAAATTCGAAAAAGAAGCTCGATGCTGGCGTAGGCGGAAGTGAGAAAAACCTCGTGGCTATAATTTCTCCAACGAAGGGGTGAAAGAACGGTAGAGTTCTAGTTAAGGTGACGTTAAAGAAAAAATTATTTAAAATATCGTCCCCTTCGCAAGACTAAGGGTATCCTAAGAAAGAAAATGAAAAAATTCTACCGTCCTTTCCTCTCGGATCACTCTGACCAGCCGATTTACCTTGTGCTCCCTGCAGGAGTACCGCGGCAATCCCAAGAGGATTTCCTTGAACCTGGTTTTGCTTGTTCGTCTGGCTCGCTGCCCCGACTACCCTGGAGAACGCGGACACAGCGGCAGGACTGTTCGGAGGTGTGCCCTGGGAGGCGGGGCCTTTGTCGAAGAGATTTCGAATGGATCAATTAGAAGATTCAGCCATGGAAGAGGCAAAAAAGAACACTGTTTTCCAAACGCAAAACAGAACACGTCACCAGATGAACATTCAGCTAGACCGAGTCGTAATTGGGCCCATCAAATGGATTAATTAGCACTAATCAATCAACACGTAGCTGGGATTCTTGGAATTTGGTTAAAGCGGGGTTTAGAATCTTTAATTATCGAAGATACATATACCGAGACGTAAATTGGCTCCATCAGGGTTTATCCATGTGTTAGAAAGACGTTTAATCAATGGTGTCAAGAGTTAGGATAGCTCATACTTTCTAAGCACTCGCCTACAAATTCAATTACTAAGTATCTACCTAGACTAAGTCATAATTGAGTCCATCAGGATTAGTTACGTGTTAGAAGATACTATGCTGCGCCAGAGGAGTTAGTGTTTTTGGTTACTTCTGAAGAGTATCAAAGGTTCACAAGGCACCTAAGAGAAATACTGGAAGAATTCACGAAAATTAAAAAATTAGAATTTTTATTAACAAAATTTCAATACTAACAGTACAAAGACTAGCAGAGTTCATTGACTCATTTCACTCAACAATTATCTATACTAGGTAGTAATTTGGTCTATTTAAATCAATTCTACGTTAGTAAATGCCGTTGATTGATCATCGTTTAACTAAACAATAGAGGTTACGTGATTGGATATAAATCAAACATCAATGTCCAACACAACTCCAAAATTATTCACTATTTTAAATCAATTCAACATGAAAATTGATTGAACACACTATTCAAACCCACTGATTGTCAGTAAATGAATGAAATTAAAACAGAAAGATGCGAGTTCCGTCACCTTTCATTTCGATTCGAGAAGATCGAGCGGAAGTCGCTCGCTGACCGACCTTTGCCGGGAAGAACCAGAATAGTTACGCTCGGTCACGATAGATTTTCTCTGCGTCGACATAGACACGATTTTGCGACTGAAATAGATACGAAAGGCTGGCTGACGATCGTGACCCGAGGCTACCAGCCTCGAAGATCGTTTCGCGTGGAAAATAAGCCGACGGTTTATGCACGGAACTTGGATTCAAGTCACAAGATTGATGAAACTTGATAAATTTCGACATTTAGAACTTGGGATGTTTTGAAAATTTTTCAACAATGGAAGAGTTAAAAAAATTTTTCCTTAAAGAAGACTCACGACCTTCGAAGGTTTTATTTATGAATCTTCTGAAAACATCTTATATAATTTCTTGGAAATGAAGCTAGTTCCCCAATACGTGGACAGTGTTATTTTCAAAGTAGGTATTTCAATTTAATTAATACCTAAAACTGTTTCAGTAGATAACACTATGACTGACCAGACACGACACAAACGAATCTTCCATCAACAGCGAGGATTATTTATCGCAAGTAACGAAAGGGTAAACAACAACACTGATCATAAATTTTTCACGTATCGCGAGACACACCCTGTGCGATTATCTAAACACGAAACACTCGTCTATCCATCTCCACGATCCTCCTGGCTCAATTACCAAGATACAAAGCGTACTCGTGGCTCACCGTGATTGTCAGGCTGCTTCGAAGAGCAAGGTAAGCCAGCAGCGGCCGACATTTCAATCGTTTCGACGAGTTCTCTCTCTGAATCACATTTATAGTAATACGCTCGACGCACCTCTTCTCTTCGTCTTTTTCTTCTTCTTCTTTTTCTCCTCCTTCTCCTTCTTCTTCTTCTTCTTCTTCTTCTTCTTCTTCTTCTTCGAGATGAAAGCGAGATGGAGAAGAATTCACGATGGAAGGACACCTGAACCCCCGCGGAAAGGGAGGAAAACGAAGAGAATCGACTCTGTTTTATTGCGCCTCGAAAAACGGCCGGCTTCGGGGACGTTCGAACGAACGACGCGAACTGCTGCCAATCTATTTTCAAGCAGTGCCAAGCGGTCAGGTATTTCCGTTGACAGCGCTCGAAGCTTCACCGCTCGATTCCGCTAAGCTACTCCCTTCCATCGTTCTACCTACGGACGGACACTCAAGATTCTGCTCGCTCAAGGTCACTGGATCATCTTAAATAAACTCAATTGGCGGAGGAAGGGAGTACTGAGGGAGCAATTGACCGTGAAGTCATTGTACTTTGTTATAATATTTCAATTGATATCTTTCTTTGTTGATATTTCAGAGAAATTGGGGATGGAGATTTGGTAGAAGTAACAGTGGAGAATCGATTAACAATGGAAAAAGTTCATATCTTTGAACACCTGTTTAAAGTTTAAACATCTACTTTGTTATTTTAATTATAATAGTATTTTTGTTAAATCCCACAAAGGAGAAGGAGGTTGCATAAATGCATCCCCATCTCCTCGTTAAAAATATATATATATATATAGTGTGCACCTATAGGAGGGAAGGAAATTCCCCTTGAAACACTTTGAAAATCTTCCTAAAAATGGAGTGTGATAGTTTAATGCTAATACTGTCCATCGAGCGACCAGAATCTGTAATTGATGCCCGACGACATTTTAACTATAAATTCAGAACGTCTATTAGCTAAGAAACTAATTGATGAATGAAAACTAAGTATTTTTCAAAGCGATAGCAAACCATCGACAGATGATTACTTCATCTATTTCTATAACAACATCTACGATGAATCCATCTATGTCTAGTAGAAGAACCAAGCGAACTCGTCTCCAGGCTACTTGTTCAATGCAAAAATATACGATATTCTTTATGTTACTTATCGTTCGAGATCATCAAACTTCCAGGTGAGCCTGTTGTTGATCGCTGGTCAATCACGACAATTTGCTAATCATTTCACAGATTGACATCAGTAAAGAAAAAAAATACACAGCTAGCTGCTCGATAATGATAGTACATACGAGTATATAATATAATATTATTTACTTCTCCTATACAGCGTGTACGTTTACAACAACGCCAAACAATTTCTATGAACAATCTAGCAGACTATCACGAAAAATATACACACTGGTGTAATTTAATCGTTCCGACTTTCTCATCGCACGATTCTCTAATTTGTCTACTCGCCTCGACCAGTAGATCCACTAGATGTCTGATCAGACGTCTTCATTCGCTATTTCGTAGACGGTTGCTGGCTTCCGGCGTTGGAACTCGCTCGATACGATTCTGAATCGTGTGCGTTTAGCAAACAAGTATGGGGATAATGGGAGGACAAATTTATGATTTTACTCGTAAATAGATCCCTACATTTTTAGGGTTCCTAACGTTAGTTGGCTGGAGAGTTGTTGGCTGGTAATTTCAGTGAAATTTTTTGATAAATCGAAAATCGACAAATATTTCATAGGATATTTTTAATAATTTTATCTCCTGTCGTTTGAATAAATTAAATTTGTAACTGTTACCTCTGTGAGAGTCAATTTGTTAGGTAAGTTAATATTCTAATTTTTGGAAACTGAAATTTTCCATGATCATATAATATGTTCTCCGATTTGGTAAAACCACAACTGGTGCTTGGTCTGTTTACGTAATATTATATGCTGGTATTCAATCGATACGAGGGTATATTTATTATTCATACATTTCGTACGACTGATTATTCAATACGTTGTATGCAGAATGAACGTTGGTTATCAGAGATGAACGAGACTGTTCTCTTCAATTCATGAATTGAATAATATAGCCAGATCGCAGTTATAATTTTAATAGTTTAACTGATATAAAATTGTATTATTTCAGAAAAGATATACCTAAGTAACGTTCCTGTTAATTCATTTGAAATACTTATCAAAACGAACGAAGATAAATTAGGTAAACGAAAAGAGGTATGTATAATTAAAAATATCATTGAATTACCTATCAAAAGCTGTAAATCGAATATTTTCTTTATTCTAAAATAAAATTTCACTGAAAATCATTTCACAGCCCAAATGCCTCTCCTTACCTAAAATCAACAAACGAACGTGTGTTAAAAACGTGGCCAATTATGGCCAAAAAACAGTACACACGATCGTCGATGTCGTAGGAGGGGACACGATCAATCCCAGTAACAGGATACAGGGGCTAAGATTAATAACAAATCGATGCACGCAACGTCCTGATATTAGTTCGTGGAACGAGAGGAGGCTGGAGAGACGGTAAATCCGAAGTACGAGTTAGCGGAAGCTGGAACAGACAGGGTGCAAAAGCTCGGCTCGAAGCTCGTCATTGAGCCCCTCGTGAAGTTGGCTTCTCCGATTCGCGACCTGCTTCCGATCCCCTCTCGCCATCGAGAAAACCTCCTCAGAAATCACTTGCTCTTCCCTCTTCCTTCCAATCAACATTTTAAATAAATCAAATAGAAAACTAGTTTTTCTGAGATTTCATTAATCAAAGAAATTATAATATTTCTGTTCCTTCTTCGAAACTAAGAATTAGATTCTTTGATTAATAGTAAAAGGCGAGAAGGGCACTATAGAAGCTTTCAATATTCGACTTTATATTTTTAAATGATAAGCTATTAACATTAAGCTTCAAATTGATACACAATTAATGCTATTTGACAATACTTGTATGCCATCAAATTTCTATGCTCCAAAATCAGCCATTTGATACGCAATAATCATAGTTCAAAGTGGGGAAGGGTGTTTCGAAGATTTTGCATTAACCAACTGTCTCAAAAGAATAATAATATTAATAAATCCTTAACAATAATCTACTTAATGATACATCTTCCCAACTTGAAACTATGAATACAATACAGTGACATAAAAATCAAACGATAAACGATGAAACAATACACATGAATTCAACATAAAATTACACTAGCAAACGATATTCAATAATGCTGTACCGAACAAAATTATGGCAAACAAAAAGAAACAATGAACGATAAATTTCAATTCGCGAATAAGAGAAGCCATTTGTGTAAATTTCGTGGAACGTTTCCACGTACACGCACGTGGAATACGTATACGTAAATCTAGACGCAGTTAATGTACATGTTTGTATTACACATGAAAATTGCCGTGAAGCCTCGAAACGTATTGTTTCTTGGCCTTCGGTGTGCAGGTTTACCTTCCGGTTCTTTGGCGATGACCGTGCTGCTCCGGTCGACGCCGCCCTTCTTATCCTCTGTACAACAATACACACATACGTCACGTATACGGATATGCGAGAGTTTTCATTCGTTTTTGTAGCAGAAAAAAAAGAAAAAAAAAAAATAATTTCAATAAAACGCCTATTTACAGGTCTAGAGAATAGCAACGCGCTGAAACCCGAGATAAGCTTTCGTTTCTCTAGCCATTTTGTCTGAGCCAATCAGAAAGCAACTTGAAAAGCAAATTTCTTAAAATTTAATAAAATTGCGAAAAAATTTTATCCAAATTACTAATCAGAATTCATGATGTTTCCCTGCTTAAATCGTTTACATCTTGCTTACTTCGTAATGTAGACTTATAAACAATAATTTTCTATTTAACAAATATTTTTTTTTTGCAGTTATTGAGATAGTATGTTGTACATTATAACAAGTTTTGTGTTCCTGTTTGGTAGAAATTTCAATTGGATAAGAAGTGTATGTCTGATCGTACATTGACCAAGTCTACTGATCTGAGAATAAGTAGTATAAGCTGCGTATTTTTCAGCCTACATATACAGTTTCAATATTTCTACACACCACTGCTGTGTAAATAATAAGAATAAACAAAAAATATATGAATATAGGATTATACAATGTTTTTTTAAAGATTTTAAACAAAAATATCTGATAACTAACTCACTTTACAATTTTTACTATGGTATGAGAATGTACATACCAACCATATTTACTTTTTTCTCTTTTTTCAAACCATTCGCGTGTCAATATGTATTTTATTTCTTATTCAATTTTTTTTTTTTACTATTCAAGCCAATATAGAAAAATATCATCGACCTGTTGGTGAAGTACGAAAAATCTGGATCACTCTCTGTATATCACTGAATTTGAAACATTCTATATTTTTATCATCGCAGCAAACGTTGTAAAATTGTTGAAAGTCAGAGTACATACACCGGAAAAGAGGTATGAAAGAAACTAATTCTCGAACAATTGTACAAAAGTTTAATGGAAATTTAATTCGCAAAATTCCCTCGTTAGTTTTCTTTAAAAAGAAGTACAGAAGAAGAAAGCTGCGAAAACGAGGTTCAAGTAGTGGAAACAAATTTCCTACATTTTCTTCGGTAACACGGGATTCTAAATTAACGAGTAGCACTTGGAAAATCACAAGTTACTTTAATCTTCGTTCTACAGAATCATTCGGCTCACGGGGCATGGTGTGTCGTTTGCAAAAACTCATTAATGGACTCATTAACGGATGAAAGTTTTGCAACGTCAACACTGTTTGTGCTCAACTTTACCCCCTGCTGCAAAATTTATCCAATAACCAATTAAATTCTTTTTCCATTCCAATCGACAAAGTACTTCGTTGCTTTCTGAACGACTACGAAATGCGCGCGGCACGACGCCGCTGTAATTCGATGCGAAATAGCTGGACTCCGTGAACATAATTAGCCCTTAAACGATGATAGACAGCGACAGTTTAAATTGAACCTTTTCCATTTCTTACTTTCATTCTCAAAATTTTTCATATCATTTTTTAATTTTAGCCCAAATCAATATTGATCCAGTACCGTCGTTTGAGAGTTCATATAGTGACATTATACTATACTATTTTATTAAAAAAAAAAAAAAGAAAAAAAAAAATAGTTTGATTGTTAACACGGAGTATCAGCTGATTCGCAAAAACGCCGAATATTAGCTGCGAAAATTTTAAGAAAGTATATTTTCTAGCTTAATTTTCTAGCTTTTCTCTAACGTAAACTAACGAAAGAATAAATGTATAGAATAGATAAAGTGGTGAAAAAGGAAAGAGTAGTATAGATAGAGAAGGATAGAACTGCAGCACATTATTCGTTCTCTTCGTACTTGGGTCTTTCGGACAAGTATACTATCGGTTCAAAGTATTTAGTAGGATGTTCTTGAAAAGAGAACGAAAAAAAAAAGAAGTGGGCAAATGGAGTCGTGCGAAGAAAAAGAAAGTGGATGTCATTCTTGTCGAAGAATCGAAACGATAAAGGTTGGTGAAGCGAGTTTGAACGGTAGACCCTTTGCTTTTTGTGTTGAACGATTGCTACCCTTTTTTTTGTTTGGATGATCGCATCACCGAGGATATCAAAGAAAAGTAATAGTCTCTTATAGAGCGTTTACTTTTTTATACAATATTTGATAAGTATTTCTTAGCTTGTTAATTTGAAAATAAATTAAATTAAAAATAAGTTGAATTTGATAACAATATCAAATTTTGTGAAAAATTTCAAAAATACCATTATACTATTATGTAATATTATTATGTAATAACCAATTGTTCCAGAACAAAAATCCAAAAGTCTCCGCTCAAAATCTCGCTTTAAATTCAAGACAGTATCAAAGAAATCAAAATCCTAGTACAATAAATTACATACTTTCAAAAGAATCTGTGCTGAAAAGGTGCACATGTGCAATCGAGGAAGATTCGTAATCGATCTTCTTCCGAATCTCTCATTGTCAGTGAGGGAAACGCGTGTGCATATCGAACGGTCGATTCAATCTCGTTGGAGAGGGGGGGATCGCTTTGAGAAATCGAAAAATTCCAAGGATCGTGCTTGAACGAGCAAACAGTTTATTTTGCCTTTCTCTTGGAAAAAGAAGAGAGAAATAGGGAGTGCAAAAAGGGACAGAGTTCTTCTTTTTCAGTTGTTCTCGAAGACGAACGAGCTTTCGTTTCACCGTCGTCGAGTTCCTAGAACTTTTCAGGACAAACGAGTAGATTCTGGGGACACGTATCTTTTTTCTTTCCCGAATCGAGTTACGCGTGTATTCGACGAATCCTCGACAGGATTTCAGATGATCCTTGATTCGGGATTCCTTTCGGTGGATACTTTAAACAAAGTTCCCTGATATTTACGCTCGCTACCGCTGAGATTAGAGTACCTTCGGCTCTTTTTATTCTCAACACTCGACTCGGCATTCAAGAAAGCTTGGTGTCGATGCACTAAGCGAATGGATACAACAAGCAACGATTAAACTAAATTCAAGCACTTGGTGGAGATAAATGATGCAGTGATTTTTAATTTTCTTTAGAAAATCTACCCTATTCTTTGAAATATTATTTTTCAAAAACGTCGAATATCTATACCGCAGTTCACCAGAGTCCATAAATGCGACGCGCAGGTTGGAAGATGGTGGGGGAACGCAGCGGGCTCTCCGCTAATCGCTTTCCACTTCGTTTGGGAGTATCGCCAATCAGGGCGAAGATGCGTACTGGGGATGTGTAATGAACGAAAACTGGTCTTTTCGCAGTTATGGATTCTGGTGAACTGTGGTATATAATAAAGCATTCTGATAACTGATAGTAAAAAGAAGCGTAACTTTAAAGGTTCCAACCTTCAGGCTATAAACCTGAACGTTTCGAAACAAATTCAATCACTGCACCACTTCTCGCGCAACGAAGCAGGACGAGGCAAGCCATGCGAAACGGTGCGTGAGATCGCGAAGCGGAAACGAGCAGGGATAGGTTGCTAGCACGTGGGGTGGATGAAAAAAAAAAGTAGAAGAATATCTAGCGCAGGCAATTTAAGGGTGGTGTTCATAAATCCATAACACCGTGGAGTGACGGTGGACCGTGTATCGTTATGATGGGGCACGTAGATGGTGAAACGACAATTGTGTGTAAACCTAAATATTCTTTTCTCTAAATCTTTCGCGTGTGATAAATAGAAAACAAAGAAAGACATAGAAGATCATACATAGATAGGGAATAAAATGAATTGGTGGAAGATAATTCATGGTGAAGACAAATTTGGTGCAGAATCTTTTGGTGATCGAGTGTGTGAACGAAGTAAATAGAAAAGAAAAGAATAGAAATAAGAAGTAATAACGTTATCCCAGCGATGGTGTTCTTTTTTTGATACCGACTTACGTTCGCCATGATGGAATGTGTGATGATTGCTGCATTCTCTACGACGATGAGTCTCTTGTGTTGTTCTCGATCACTAATATGGACGATGCTTCTAACGTGGTCACAAAACTAATCTACCTTCGCTAATCGCATACTAACTCATTCGTTGGGTCTTTGTAGGAACGAGACGAAGAAGCAGTAAAGATGGTCGAGAAACGATGATTAATGGCTGCTCTACACGAGAATCACTCGTTTCTTATAGAATTTGTAGGGTGCTTTTTAATTTGCAATTGTGAATTGCTTTTTAATTTTATGTAAATTTTGTCAGGTAACAAGTGGAAAGTTTTAACTGAAAACTGCAACAATTGTAATTATAGTATACTATACTAAATATCATAGAAAAATGATTAAAAAATAGCAATTTTATCTTTTACAATAAAAGTATAAATTTAATATTGAAACGAGTGTTTCCTTTTCAAACAGAAGCTTCTAAACGAGAAACGCAACAACTGCCATCGATGAGATGTTCACCTATAAGAACTAATAAAAAAAGAAGAAGAAAATTGGCTGAATGACTGACGAGGAAATAGAAAAGAAGCAAAAGCATCGGCGATTATTCATCGTCAGATAATCGATCGACTCTTCGATTTTTCTCTAAATTTCATTTAATTAAGCGTTACACGCATCGATCCTGAAAGTTGAATTACGAATTCTTTGCGATCATAAATATAAATATAGGCTTCCAGAGAATACCGGTTCGCGATTTCGATTTACTCCTGCAGCCTTTAACTTTTCCAGGTAACTTTCAGAGTAATTTCACCACTCCATTATCCGAACTCGCAAACAACGGCTTTCTCATTGTACAACGCTAATTGCATACTGGAAACAGCGATCGCGTGTACGGTGGTTGGTCGTCGTGGGGTTCGCGATTCACCAATCGACCGACATAAAGAAAAATCAACAGAATTTGCCCACGGGAATGCTAATTGATGTATGATTGAAATGAAATTTTCCTGGAAATAAAGTCAAGAGAAAGTCGAATTGAATTAAGGATGAAATTTTGCCAATAGAAAATTTTTGAAAAGTAAATTTTCCTTTAATTAAAAGTATTTAATAATTACAGGAATTATAAGAAAAATAGAAATTCGATGGAATTGGAATTTTGCCGATTGAAAATTCTTGAAAAATGAATTTCCTCTATTTAAAGATGTTAATCGGATAAATTAAAAATAAATTCATTACAAATAAATATCAATCAGGTAATGTTTTTTTTCCTTCTTTTTTTTTAAATATCACTCATGGCGGTTCATTTAATATGATTCGTTTCTGCTTCACCTATGGTCTGACCTAATTTAAGTCTATACTACTGAAATCACACGCGTGCATTAAAACGTTCCATTAAATCGTTCATGACCAAAACTGTGCTAACTATCGCCATTTGAAGTAGTCGCGTCTAGGGAACCCTAGATTCTAGTGAAGCTCCGTTTCGATGTGCAAAACTGTAATACGATGTTTCAAAGCGGGTAATCGTTCTCAAAAGCGGTTCGATAGAAGTGTCGGACGATTAATGTCGTCCACGAAATTACGAAATTGCTCTCGGCCAGGGTACAAAATGAAGTCTGGAATCTATCGAAGTAAACGATAAAGAGAGATCAAGCTCCAATTTGTATCTGGGGACATGATCGCGTGTTATGGATTTGTGAGCATCGTGACTGAACACAGAACAGTGTAATTTTTTTATCGTTTCTTTGGAGGAAATGTTCTGTGTGTTGCTTTAGAAATATGGGACAGTGTGAAGTGTTAATAGAATGCTAATTTTATAAAAATTTTAATTTGTAATATTTTCATAAAATGAATTTTTCTTTTTTGTGGTATTCTAAAATTTATTATGTTTCGTTGTTTTCAAAGAATGGGCTTTGTGCTTGGAAACTCAAAGTTATGAAAATTTTTCAAAACTTTCATTACTGATCTCGTTTCGCATCACGATTTGCATCGAAGGAAGCGTAACAACAATAGGTACGACAATACGACATCGCTTCTGAATTCAATTGTTTCAACACGGGCCACGGTATTACCGTTTTGTGCTCGAGTGTACTTGTGTCTGGCTCGAGAATCAATCCACTCTGTGATAAAACGTCTGAATCTTGAAAGCGAATGAAACCCATTGTCTGGTAGTGTTTTCGGTGTAAGGTGACAAGGAGACTTGGTTGCATGCATGCCAGGGGGCGATCGTCGGATTGCACTTCCACTAATTATCCTCGCTCATTTATTTATAAGAAAATTTTATATAATTATCGTGTGCGAAACCTTTAGAACCCCGATTGGATTCAAATGTTGTATAATATTAGAAAAGCCTAAAAATAATTGAGAATATTTTGCAAAATCACGGTGCATCACTTTAAAATAAAAAAAAGAATTAATGTTTATTTGTAATGTTATATCGACAAAGTCAGAAAAATTGAAATTTTGAAAGTGCAATCCTCGAAAAAAAAAATCCTCTTTGATAAATCTGCTCTGGCGATGTATGCGCATCGAAATGATACCGCAAAGAATAGAGCAATTCAAAGCTGACCAACAGGTGTCGTACGAGGATAAACAATGTTCAGAGACACATCGAGTGAAACATTGAACTCTGATCCTACGAGGACAATGAACATTTGCACTCTAACGTTTTCAAATTCTTCTTAAACATCAAATGCATTCTTTGGAAAATGAAATAGAATTTTGAAAGCATTCGACGTATGATCGATGATTGTATTTTATTTTATACTATTTCCAGGATGTTTTCATAGTTTTTTGATTGACTTGAAAAAGCGGACCGTCAGTATTAATTAGAATAAATAATTGAAAGTTAATAGATTCCAACGTCTACAGAAAGAAATAGAATAGAAGTTGGCTATAAAATTTGATGGGTAAGTAACGAGACGAGTAAAGCTCTACTTTCTAAAAGTATACACGGACCTTTTCCTCGTTTCGCAACAGAGATTCGCTCGATATACAAAATGTACCTTTCGAAATATTATAATTATTGCATATCAAACGACGGATTTTTGAAACTGACCACTTAATTAATATTTTAACTACAAACGTTCCAAAAACATTTGTAAACATAATATCGAATAGGCGGCAATAAATGACGCGTCATCGAGGAATCTCTGCGACAGATTTACCAACATATACTGTTAATCGGAACACAGATGTACGCAAATATAAAGATAGATCGTGGCTGGAGAGAGCAATAGGTTGAAGGGGGTAAAGCAACGCGGGGGATACTTAACTACTCGAGCTATTGTCCAACGATCGATTCGCACGTGAGCAAGAGTATTATCTCTCTAATAATAGGCCGATATGCGCGCGCAAATCTCTGCCCGTGATTTCGTTACATCGTGCAGAGAAACCGCCGACTGTTTACCGGATCCTGAATCATCCTCCGTAAACGTTAATTAACGAGAGCAAAGAAAAAAAGAACACTTTTTTATCGACCATTTTACAATTTACAAGCCGTTAAACTCTCTATTGAGAGGATATATCCTCGTTTACTGATAATAGAAAAAGAAAAACACCAAGTTTTTCAAAGAAATCATTCGAGAGAAAAGAAAACGGAGTGTAAGGAAAATCAGTCGCGAGTCGATTTAGAACGTCGGACGATCGTTCGCTACGATTCGGCGTCTATTGAAATTCAAATTCGACCAATAATAATCGTCTCGCTCGTCCATTCGACGGAGAAGGTCGTTCCGTTTCGAATCCGGACGGGACTGAAATGCAATTTATAGCCGCGCGAGTAGCGAGTAAAATCACGTTCAATCCATTAGTAGATCTCGCTGCGAGAAAATTAACCGTCCCAGTTTGGGTGTCGAACAATTAACGAGCCTACAGGCTCCGGTTTCGTCGTGTGCGCGCGATACACACGTCGCGTCGAATCGAGAGGCGTGCTCGAGTAATCGATGTTTTCCATCGCGACTCGTCGATTTTGCCTCGGAGACTACGTTGCTCCTCGGTCTGGAAATTTTCATTTTCAACGGGCCTCTCTAATTCTCTTAACCACAGGATGATTCAAAAAAAGAGGAGAAGAGGAGACCCCTGGATAGACTTTTTAGAGACTTAATAAAATATAGAAAAATGAATGTAGAAAATAAAACAATCACTTATCCCAATTTCATTAAAATCCTCATCGATGGTACCACCCCCATAGGATCTCCTCATCTAGATCTAAAATCATCCGGATCTCAAAAAACCTGTTTAAATCGAGCGTACACGATGAAACCGACACAGATCGAAACCGTAAACGCACCCTCCGGGTACGTTACAGCCAGGCCCCAAAAGTTCGTGATTCGTGGGGTGATAAAAAAAAAGGAGGCGTTAAACGGGGTGCACATTCCCGGGGCTATCCTCGAGTACACCGAGGATAATATTGGAATCGAAACGCACAAAAAAAGAGGGGGCTAGAAGAAGATCTAGAGTGAGAGAGAGGATGGAGTGGTCCTACCTTTAACGTCATCGTCCTCGATCGTTGTGCTGCTGTCGGTCGATTCCTTCACCTGAGAGCCATCGCCCTTCTTCGTGATGATGCTCCGACCTGGAGCACGCAGAGCGTTTCAGTAAATCGACATTCAGGGGGGACAGTGCAAAATTGTTGTTGTTTATAGAGAAATAGAGAAGAGTAAGTGTGACAGAACAGGAGATTGCTTGGTTTGTTAGAACAGTGCTGTCCACGGGCCCAGGGGTCACTTACTTTTTGATGTTCCATCAGGTCTCCCTAATATTTCTGTACTTAGGGAATCGAGGGTATTTTTGGGATTTTACATTCAGATTTTATGATAAATGGGGGGGGCGGGGAGTTCCTTTTAAACACTTCACTGTCCCATTATTCGTCCCTTACTTAAATCTCCTTAACACGGACGTACTCAGAGGATACTATTCTTAAATCCTAAGGCAAGTGCAGGTGGGTAGATAAGGGAACGAACAGAGGACCACCTGGTTTTGCCTAGGTTCCCATAAACAGCACTGGATTAGAGAAACCAGATCTGAACGAGTAGAACACACACAGTTGCGCAAGGCGATCGTGTAGGATCTTATTAGGAGGAATTTGGGATTGATCAGGGTCTTGAAATCGATAGAATTTATCGAGAGAAGACAAGTGGGATTAGCGATCAAGATAGACAGGTGCAAAAGAAAAAAGTTTACCTATATTATTTTAATAGGTGCCTGATCATTCTCAAACGTGAACATGTGAAAGTCTACTGAAGCTTAGAAACGTGTGCTTTCAATGTGTCTATTTTTTGAAGAACAGAACAGGGAAGCTGAAAGACGATGTGATAATTATTTCAATTATGAAAAGCAATTATTTTGAAAATGAATATTATCAATGTTTCTTTTCAAAAGCCCACATCAGGCAAAGAAATGAGAAAGGGAAAAATTAATTTTTCTATTAAGAACGAAGAGTCTCGTTGAAACAAAATTTAGTACGGGTGTATCTCGATCGCTAACCAAACCCGTATAGTTTGAAACTGAAGGCACAAGTTAACCAAGAGTCAACTGAGTCGAAATTTAATCAGGATCGACGTAACACTCGATGAATACTCGGTTTTCACTCAAGTTTCGAACAGTAAGTAAAAATATCGTTACGTCGATCCATGGTCAATTTTGAACCCAGAAAATCCTCTAATAAATAGAAAGGTTCAGAAATTCTGAATATAAAAGAAAGGAGCTTGAAATCTCTGGTAACGTACAGCAGAGTATTAGATTAGGGTTAGACTAGCTTTCAGAGAAGAGACAGAGTTTTGAAGAGAAACGCAAACCACAGAGAAGATAGAAAGAAGACAGAGAAAGGAGAGGAAAGATAAAGAAAAAGAAAGGATTACAACGGAATCGAACATTCAAGTAAATCTGTTCTGCATGCGAGACAATAGTGATCAATCAATTCGAGCAACTCTGCCGATGCTCTCAAGATGATGTATCGGTGCCAAGGGGAAAAAAATGGTAAAAAACAACGATTCTCCTCTCGTCTTTACCTTCAGGCAGCTCCTCTCGAGAGCTCGGCTTCGTTCTGCGCCAGCGAAGCGACGTAAAATTTTACATAAAAAAAAAAAGGATGTATCATAAATTGCATGCTGAGCTGCGTGCGATTTTTGCGTGTCACTGGGGGGACGGAAGTCATGGTTCTTTTGCAAATGTACAGCGAATCGCGATCGAGAAAGGCCAGGCCAGGTTTTATCTGTATTTTATTTACTGTTCCCTTCTTTCGTAGTTTACTGTTATTGTTATTGTTGCCACAGTCAAATGGACGGTATACATATAATAAAACGTGTTCCTTCATAACTTGTTCTGTTTCTTTTTTTTCTAAGTATATACTTATTTTTGGAAATCCTAAGGATATGGAAACGTTTAAGAGATTCTCAAAACTTTCAGGGTAGAAGTTATATGTATATTGAAATTCAAAATAAAAAAGTATCGAACAATAGGTATCACCTATGAGAATTCCGTTATTGTCGATAGAAAGGGAGATATATTGAATTACATGGGGTTTCTATCCCCGTATGATAGAATTATTATTGTCGCGGTAATACCGAGCTTCAAAGCTCGTGAATCGTGTCTACGACGCGTGGTTGTATAATTTATCGCGGAAAAGTGGGAAACGAAGAGAGGGAGGATGGATAGGCAGTCGGTTTCCGACGCCAGTATAAATACACCAGAGAAATTCATCCCTAAGGTGTAATATCCGTGTACTTTCAGGGAGGGTTGAATTCGCGAATTGGGAAACGCGTTCGTCTCGCTGGCTTTTATGTGACCCGTGTATTCTTATCTCGTGCCAGCACCCCCGTCGAGGCAACGCGGCTATTCTCTGAAAATCTACCCCAACGATTTCTCGGGGGTTTCCCCTTCTCGAATATGTATTTGGACTGTTAAATTGTCTCTGCTCCTCGATTTCAAACGTTCGGTAATTATGTGACGAAGAATAATGTAATAGTCATCAAGAGATGATGAAGAAGAGGAATGGAAGAATTATTCGAAGAAGGAAAAGATTGACGCGCTGCCTCGATACGAAGGAACGTTAGGAAATATTTCGAACAGTTCGGAATATTGATGTTCAGTGTGAACAACACTTGTTTAACAGATACGTACTACGTGTCTATATTTGCGAGAGAAGCAAGCAATTAGGCGTGAAACGAAATAAAGAAGCGAAGCGGAAAGCGTAGCCATGCCAAATGCGACGCGGAAACGCGATTGTTCGTGCGGAGGATTCTTCTTTCGAGTTTTGTTTTTTATCTTTTTTAAGGATAATTATTAAACATGTTCTTTATACTGCTCGAAATAATCGCCTATTTGAATAAAAAGGTTAAAGTATAAAAGGTAGATGAGTAGCTATTAAATCCTTAAATATTGTACTTTTGAATAAAAATTATTATACAAGTTTTCGATTAACATTTCATAATCCCCTACCTTTTCATCTCTGCTAACCTTTATGAAATTATATGAGATAAAAACTATAACGAATATAGATTTAAAATCATCTAGAATCTATATTCTAAACGATATCATTAATTTCTCAAACTCAAAACTGGAAATAAAACGAAATAAAGATATACATAGTAGGCGGACCTATAGAAGTAGTGGGGAACATAAACAGCAGGAGTGGGGGATAAGTAGGTCATGAATAGGCGTGGCTAAATCATTTGGAGCAGCATAACAAAAGAAATCAACACGAAGTTTCTATCGAAACTTCCGACGAACATATCGCTAGTTGTTCGATTCACAACGTGTGAGATACAACTAAAATAATGTCGCGTGTGGCTTTGTGTGACGATGTTGCAAGCGTTGCTGCTTATCGGTTAGATACATCTTCTCTAAGGTTGAGAGAGCGACGAAAGATTGAGAAAATGGAAGGTGCTCTTGCACCTCCGACCCACTTCGCGTAACCTTGTCAACGAAATTAAATAATCAGTCGTTGAGTGTGAAAGAATAAATAAATAGGTAGAGAAAGAAGAGAAAGAGTTAGGATACGAGATATAATTGTACGTATGTATAGGAAGATAGACTGAAACAGAGAGAACAGAATTGATCGTCCGGCTCGCGTTCTCTTGAATGGAATTCACGAATGGAGCACGAAATTCATGAATTATTTGTGACTAGGAATTTATGAATTCAATTTTTTTCTTATTTTGCTGTTTCAAATTCACAGGATGTTCACGAAAGTTAAGCTCAAATTCCAAAAACTTAATTTTTTTCATTAAATATATATATACTTCTGTTTATTGCTACTGGATGACACTATATCTACTTCTTCTTGAACTTCGACCTCAACTTTTTCGACACCCTGTATAAGCAACCGTGGTTATACAAATGAATTCTCGCGTAAATTTCGACCACGTCAAGCTCGTCGACGAACCTCGAAATTTATAGATTCGATGAATTCGGAGATGGCATTGAGTTGGAGTTTGAACAGCATCTCGCTTCGGAATATAGGTACTCGGTCACGGTTTAAGTAAACATTTCGGGAAAGGATCTCCAATTCGATCAAAAATAAACCGATACATCCGTTTATTTTAATTAAAATTATTAATAAACGTCAGTACATTGATGCTACATCATTTTCATTTGCTTAAATAATTAATAGAAGTCTATAAATTTTGTAAAATTCATGTCTCTGATTAAAATTAAAGTTATTTAATTTTAAAATCAAAGAATTGTTTTTATAAAAAAAGACAACACGAGCCACGAGTTCTCTCCTGTCACAAAATAATCACCAAATAATAAGAACCTCAAATTTGATCGATCAATGATCGTTTCAGAGGTGTATCTTCTTCCCTTCTTGTAAGGAAAGAGTGATATTTACTTCAGCTTTGATTCTGAAGAAGGATGGAGAAAATACAGGACGGATAGAAAGATTTTTTTCATTTTTTTTTTTTTTTCCAAATCGAATTTCGATAGAACCACCAAGGAACTTATCGTTTCGATTTCGCTGGCGCTGAAATACACGCGTCTGGAGGCGTTCGAAAAGCAATGGAGATTATTGGAAGATCGTGAAAATGAAACTCATGAATTTCGGAGAAAGATTCCAGAAACGGACGAACGAAGGAACGATTTGATGATTGATAAGCGGGAGAAAATTTTGCGTGACAGACTTGACAACGAATTACGACGACCAGATGAACCGTGGAATTTTCCTTTTCAAAGTTCTTTCTCGTTTTATTTCACTCTGTCGATACCGGCTCATTTTTGACACGCCATTTCATTTATAAAATAAAAAGTTGACTTACAAAAGAAATGATTAATATCAGATTATGTTCTTCGAGATAAAATCGAACAACGAGTCAAAAATAACCCCGTATCGATCAGTCGCGTCACTTTCAGTCCGTTCGAGGGTTGATTAACCCTTTCATTAAAGCTAGCGGGTGAACGATACGAAATAAAAAGGATATTCTAATTTCAATTGATTTTCTTCGAGGTGTGTAATTATACTTAAAGCTCCTATTGATGTAAAAACCGACGGCGGGTCGTTCTAAGAAGTACTTAACGTCGAAAGGGTTAATTAATTACGTTTGCAGAGATCGTGGGAAGGTAACGTTCTCGCGATATTACGGTTGAAAAAAAAGGGCAAAAAGAAAAGACATTGCAGAGTAGGAAGAAGAAAGTCGTAAAATAAGACAAAGATGGTCGTAACTCGAAGATCCAGAGCTTACAGCGATTAGATAAATTTAATTAAACTTCTAGCCTACCGATCGATGAACGAAAGACAGCGTTTCGAACTTAATTACACGTCGGTTGTTCGAGGTAGCCCTAATAAAAGAAAAAAAAAAAAAAAAAACGAAAGGGATTGCAAGAGAGAGAAAGAGAGAGAAAAAGGAAACGAATGATCGCGGTCTGTCTTCGAGTTCGTAATTGAAACAAATTGCTGGCAACGCTGGCGACGAGAACTCGCATTTCCACGGCTACTTCCGGACGGAAATTGTTACACGGCAATGAAAGTATTTGATGGTTTTCACGATAACAGGCCGACCAACACGCGAACTGCGAAAAAATTACTCTGTTTCCTTCGCACGTTCGATCGCGAACTCATTTTTCTTTCAATCTTGCCAATTACTCATTTTCTAATTACGGAGGAATTAAAATTATTTTCATAGATAGATTGTGGACTTTTGTAAAATTTGTAACATAGCAGAAGGTATGAAAAGAAATAAAAAATTTTGTATATCTTCTGTTATGTACATAATTCCCCAAATGGAAAAATTGAAAAGATAAAAATTAGAAAAAATAATTTTTATTCTTTAATCAATTTAAGTAGAAAAGAATTTCCTCTTTTTTTTCTCAATTTCAACGCCAGAACATTACCTTCCACGTTTCAACCCTTCGAGATCCCTCCACCCCCAAGAATCCTGAATCGACATCAAAGTAACCTAATTGTTAGTCTTCCATAATTCCATAATTTTTACAATAAAAATATTCACAGGTTTCACAGAAAATTGATCATTGCCTAACGTGTCCTACCTGATTCTACTTCGAGCGTGAAGTGTCCCCGACGATGTGTCTTTTCGCACAGAAAACAGTCGCAATAACAATGGAAAATGATAATAAGAAAAAGAAAAATCAACGAAAATATAAACACAGAAGATCGTCAAACAGTGAAATCATTATTCTTGTCTTTTCAGGGTGGAGGGGTAAATGTGTCGCGTTTACAGGTGTCGTGTCTCTACACAGAAATGCAAGATGCTCATCTACTCGACTAAACTGAGGATGCTGCATTCTAGGGTAACTTTTTTTTTTCTTGTCGTAAATGTGTGTGCGTATGTATAGCGGATGTGTATTCGATTCGTATCCGAATACATGAAAAGATTATGCCGTTTTGTCGAGCATCCAGATTCAAGATGCGCACCAGTCAAACTAACAGGGTGTCGTGTGTGTATACAGACGTACACAATACAGACATGGATTTGCGTGATTTAACATTCATGTTTCGTATTTTGGAACAGTTCGGAGCCGAGGTCTTTCGGCTGAATCTTTATCGCCACGCCGATGAAAATTCTTTCTCGTTCGAATTTCATAAATGCGAATTCGAAAGAAACTGCATTTTTCAGAAATATACAAAGTTAAAATACAAATTTTTTTCTAGATACGTCTCCTTGAATAAAAAATCACATTGCTAAAAGTTGACGAAATGGGTTTTGTTCAAGAAAATATATCAATTTTGTAAAAATATTGTTATACATATAATATTTGGATTAAAATGTATTACTCCATGCAAATGTTTATCTTGTACGACCAAATCTGAGTGATTTGTAGATATAGAATATGTTTGCGTTAGTAGTTTAATAGATAGTTCCAAAATATGTGGCACGAATTCAAGGCAAATAGAAAAAGTGGTCCACGGGAGTGTTTCAAATTTCGTTGTTGTCTTATCCATACGACAGGCGCTACAGAGTGGTTAGCAATAACTAAACAATACAATAAATCATTCGTGGGCACTTCTCGACAGTGGACCTAAACAGTTGTACTTGATATTTTTTTTTTTTTTTCCTTTCTATTAACACAATCTTTCAACACCGAAACACAATTATATGAATTTTACCTTTCAAAATAAAAATGATAAATCCTTTGAAAATTCACACTTTGAATCGTTCAAATCGAAACATCACCCAAACGAACACTAGCCATTTCAACTTCGAATGAATTTTTCTTCTAAACGATGAAATGAATAATGAATGATCAATGACATCTTGTCTCAAGCAAATGAAAATTAAGACTTTGACGACCGATGCAATATTGGTCATTTTAATACCTTAAAAAGTTGGAAATAAAATTCCACAAAGTATGCAACCATCAAAGTGTTAAATAGATTTTGATGAAATTCGTATTTGTTTCGAAGCATGACTCGATATGGTGTTCGATGATTAGAAAACTGCTTGAGTCCACTGCGACGATTCGCGTGGTTACCCAGATTTCAGAAACAAACGAATGACAATGAAGAGAAAATATTATGATACAAGGAAAATTGTAAGAAATGTTTCCCTTCTGGGTAACTTAGCACAGTCCTTGCATGATATGAAGTGCGAGCCAAGTGCATCGACTATGAGTACATAGTAACACGAGGTTTGTGAACAAATAATCATGATGATTATTGCTAATGACAAGAGCAAGCGAGGATGAAATTCGTTGAATAATGCCGGAGCAAACCAATGAGGTGATCGGGGAAGATCACAAAGATCTACCGTCGTGGTTGTGCCAATGGAAATGGATAATTGTACGGGGTGATTTTTAGGTCAATTTCACCTCGCTGCTCCGATCGCCTAGATTTAGATTCTATAGGCGGGGATTAACATAACGGGTGTCTATTTCGTTCGGTGCACGAGCAAGAATGATCGTCGGTGCTTCATTTCGTGGTATCTGAACGTATATTTTATTTTTTCAAACAACCAACTCCAATACCATTCTCTATTCGCAAAATTTAATTGAAAAACAACCCTGAAGCATTCATATCCGAAAAAAAGAAGTGTCACGAGAGTAGAACTTCTTGAATAAGTGAAACGGAAGTACGTACAGTGCCATGTTCTGAAGCACCTCTCGAAAAGAACGAAAGGGTTGATGAACAGAACCTCTATATTATATGTATGTATATATAGTATATAAACAGGGGGATGTGCAAGACAGATGAAGAAAGAGCTGGGTTTATGAACTATGAATTCAGGAACGTAAACGAAAAAGACAGGTAGAAAAAGAAAAAGTTAGGGAAGAGATAGAAACCGAGGCAAAGATAGACAGATACAGAGAGATACAGAGGGCTGGATGTAAAATTTAATAGGTGATATAAAAGTACTGTCTGTCGTGGTCCATGAAGCACTGAAGAGGGCCGGAGGTACTTACCCTGTGCATCATACTTACTGGAAAAGTTCCTCGTCGCCAACATGGTCGTCAGAATAGCGACCTGCGAACAAACAAACCGACAAACATTAGTCTTTCTTTCGTTAATTAACTCTCGTTCGGTCAAGGTCTTAATTATTTAGAGACGCTGAAACAAGAGCCAGTGTATGGTCAAGGATCCGTAAGGAAAGTCGGCGACGCACGGTACTATAACTTCCAACTTTTATTTCTTAACAAGTGTTTCATTAATTTTCAATAAATAATATAATTAACATTTACTTAGCTTCCATAAAGTAACGAGTTTCAAGCATCATACTAAAGGAAACTTTCGATCGAGCTGGGCAAAGCATCAAACTCGTGTAATTTGCAATTTCAATTCAGTTTCGTTGAACGATTTCGTTGCTGAGGGATAGAGAGAGAAATTTCCATACGACCAAGAAGATGAAACACGTCATCACGAATTAATCATGTCCATTTCTCGACCAAGAACGATGCCGTACGATAGACATGAATTCGTTTAATGCTTCTTTTGTACCATCTCGACCAACATCCGGTACGTTCTATTACATTTATTGAACGATAAGACTTCAGACTCGCTCACGACACTCACTCCATTATTTTCCACCGATAATTCCTTACGCTCGAAGAATTCTATGCTTATCAGTATTCTCTGGAGCACGATTCACCGACGCGACGCGACGCGACGCGACGCGACGCAACGGACCTTTCTCACAGCAGATCGATAGATTACGTTTTCGCCATTAATTCATGTCCAGAGCGTCTTTTATCTAAATTAAACGCCACCCATTCGCCGACCTGTTACCCATCGTCTACCTGACCGCACCGTTATTACCTTACATCTCCAGAAAACTTTCTATACAAAATTAAAATATTAACATATTATTTTTCCCTGTAAAATAAAAATATTAATTTTCTAGTGGCAAAATTTTTGAAGAAAGAAAAAAAAAAGGTTTAGTTTACGGTAAAGATATTTCGAATACGCAGAGGAAAGTATCAGTATTCGTGGATAAATAATAAGATTGTTTAACAGTGAATTTCTCGGCAACGATACAACAAACACGAACGAACGAACGCAAATACAGCTAATAAAAGGGGCATCGATACAACGCGTTTGACGTAGCACTGTAGCATCCAGAAAATATTTACTTCAAATGTTTACCGTACAGAACAATCGATTTCGATTAGAGGCCAGCTTCTATTTTCGTCCCGGGGTACACCGTAACCCCTCTACTATTTAAATTTCATATATTAAATACTACAAGTGTTATCGTCATTAACGCCTTCATTGTTACAATGAAAATGCGATACTTAAATAAAAATGAGTAAGTATTCGTTCGTTTCGTTTTTATACCTCGAGTTTTTGTTATAATATTAATAGTAGAAAATTTTCTTTAATATTTTTTCCTACTAAGATATTAAGTAAAACTCAAGGCAATTTAGCCGATTAATAATTCAACGCGATGAAACGGTAAGTATACATATACCTCGGGAATGGTCGCTTCCTGTTGCCTGCATAATGCAAATTTGCTTTTCAACGCCTTCATATTTCATTCGTGTTGAATCTTCACTACTTTCGGTTGAGTTTCAACTTTTCTTCCTGCACACTTTTCACTCGTGTTTTTCAGTAAACACCGACACTAATTGTTGGCAAAAGAAGATCCGTGATTTATTCATAGCATTAAGAAATGTTCCTTTTTTTTTAACGCTTTGAAACGTTTCTGCTGACTTTGCGATGAGTTTAAGCGAGATTTTTTATACATACACCGTGAATGTTGTTTCAGCGAAATGTTTCACGGAAAGCTGATAGTAAAAACTTTCTTGATTAAAATCAAACGCGTCTACCATCTGGCTGTAACATGCGCCGTTAAATCTAACTCTTGTTCCATTAAGAAAATTAGTCGATCACGATTAGTTGATCACGAAAGTAATTAACAGGATTGAAGAGCATCGAGCTTTGAAAAAAACGTTTGACCATGATTTACGATGTGCCGAAGAGTTGAGAAAAAAAGAACATTACTGTTTCAATTATTTTTAATGACCATTTCATCGAAGTATTTTGTTATTAGAAACAATATTAGTGGTGTTACCTTAATCGTTAATACCTATTTCGTTAGTCCGTGAAATGAACCCGTTCGAACGATCACGAAATATTCCTAATCACGGTAATTAATATCATGGTAATTAGCATCATCTCGATTACTCTAATGAAATTCGATTATTCCATTACAGGAGATTAACCACCCTAAGTGATCACGAAAACATCGCAAATCAATCGATATCCTACTTATTTTTTAAGGAAGAGTGATTAACCCTCGGACGACGGACCATGGAGAGAGCCCCAATTTTAATTTAATTGCGACATTAAACGATTCTCCCTCTTCGGGTCACGGAAGTTGAATGTTCCACAGGTAAAACATAAGACAAAAACTTGTGTCGTTTGCGCCAATTCCGTAAGATCCTTTCCGAATAGCCAGCATTAAGGATCGAGTGGTAATTACATTCGGCTTAATGGAACGATCGCGTGATTGAAGTCTCACAAATCTGTCCGTGTTGCTCGACCGCGTTCGGATAGTATCGATCAAAGGTGATCGAATGAAAAAAAAGAGAAGCGTATTCATGGGCGTTATTTATGCGAATACCGTTACAACGGATGGTAGTCGATATCGAGGTTTACTTAATCACTGCCAACCGTACAAGAAATACGATTGTTCGACGCCACCTTGTGTACTACTATGTATGTATGTATGTTATCCATCGATAGTACGACGGAACGAAAAAAAGCTAGCGATACACCCTGTTTCGTTGTAATCACTTTATTCGAGGGAGTGCTAGAACAAATAAAACTACTAGATGAGTCTTGAATAATAGAGTTCCTTTAACACATAGGTTCCTTTATAAATTAATTATCTACAGGAAAACTGATCAAACTTTCTGATCAAAGTAAGAAAATTTTAAAAAATTTAATCAAGGAATCTTGAAAACTTAATAACTTGATGAAATATTGATTTGGTATCGGTTCAAGAAATATTAGTATCGAAAATTGATATCAACTATCTAAAATATTAGTATTTAGTAAAGAAAGGGTTAAACGAACGTTCTCGTGCAATTCAGGGATGAAACGTGCGCACAGAAATTTAATTGCCAGACCGACGCGACGTTCGCGTACTTAAGTAAATAGAGGAACAAGCGCTTACCTAATGAGTCACACGTGTCGTTCCCAATCGTGATTATAAATTATAATTTCTCAACGAACGACGAACGGGTTCGTGCTTCAAGGCATTCGTGTCGCTTGATGAAAAGATATCAATATTTTACATGTAACAACGACATGTAACTAGTGTTCCTTTTTCTTTTTTATAATAGAAAGCAGAGATTGATGCATAGATTAGCTGTATTAGATAAGCTGTATAATTATTGATATTTTCAATGATTCGTCACTCTATAAGTAATTTCTTCATTTTTTCCCAATAGAAAGAGGATACCTATTTGAAAATACTCGAAAATATTATAGAAACTTTGCCATTATGTTAACTAAAAATTTTCAACACTGAAAATCGTTTATTCTCTCCTTTTTACTTTTCTCTGTAATCAAGAATGGAACACTTTACCGACACTAATAATTTTCTACAATATCTATAGAATATACTCTGTAAACTTCTACTATAATCACATAATTATACCATTATCAGTAGCAACCTGTATTACTTGAAACTACCTGTTACACAAGTATAAATAAACATAAAATATTTATTAAACTAGTACAAAAGATTCGTAACAACGTGATCTAACGACACGTAACTGTTTGTTGAAATCGAAGAGAAGCACTTCGAAGGCTCACCTTGTGAGCGTAATCGCGAGAACACATGTAGCAGACATACGATTCCAACGACAATTCGAATGACACTGGAACAGTTGCGATCGTAACAGGCCTCGAAGCGAAACTGAACCGAGGTAGGGGAATCTACGAATTCCCAATCAAACATTACCTCATTACCTCTACCAAACATGCTTACGATGAATAAAAAGAAAAACGATAATACAGCTGAAGCATTTTATTATAAGCAAATTCTATTATAAATAAAAATTAATTTAGTAATGGTGGACTATGATTAACTTTGAGAGAATGAATAGTATTATAATTTTTATAAAATAAGCCTTTTCTATGAAGTGCAGGTGTTATGAAATTAAATTGTTAAAAATAATATAATAACGATCATTTTGTCCAGAATAAAAGAACGATTAAATTGATCACGCTGAAACCGCATGAATCATTCGAATTTGTTCGGGACAGAGGGAAATCGATTCCAAGTTGTTAGCCGGTCGATCGTGTTCACTGTCAGTTTTTGGCAAAGGTCTAATAATAATTAAACGCTAAACACTAGTTTATCCCAACAGACGTTGCGCTGTAGTTTCATTTAACGGGCCGGCGAACCTTAACACTCGATGTCTCGAATCGAAACTTGCGTGTAACTAGTTAACCCGTAGTTCAGCTACAACGTTACCAACATATTCTCGCGGTGAATTCTATTAATTGAGAAACTCGTAGCTCCGTATCCACCCTCTAATCATTTGTCCGGTTGGCCAACAAACTATAGCGAGGAGGCCGAGGGAGGGAAGCATTATCGTGCAGTATTAATTAAACTGCGTTAAGCAACGAACTTACCTTTAATTTGCGCCTTGCGTTGAATTTCTTCAAACAGTCCACAGTCTCTTGTCTGTGGACGACAGATGCAACGCGTTCACGTTGCTGAAACACATAAGAAAAAAGAAAGAGATCAATATCAATTCAAGTTAACAAATTTTCTTCTAATTAGCGTGAAATTTTTTTACTTTTCCTATTTAAACGATGATAAATGAAAATTCGACAAGGATGGTTTTACTTACGCAGATCCAGGGATGCTTCAGCGCTTCGCTGGCGGTGATCCTTTTGCTGGGGTTCACCGTCAGCATCTGATTGATTAGGTTCTTCGCTTCCGGCGTGACGGTGTCCCATTCCGGGCTTGGATACTGGACAACAGATACAACGGTGATAAATTTATTTAATGTTCCAGAAACACATAAATCCGTCGTATCTTGTCACGCTGAACGATTACATTTTTTATCACATTTCATCAAAAGTTATTTAAGACGCTAATAAAATAATGCAATAAAAAAAAAAAGTCAAGACTAATCGGGAAAAGATGCGCTCTTACAAGGGGAACTACCCAAGTGTTACACTCACTTATTAATGAAACTTTGCCTGCTTGTAGAGCTCGTCGAGCTGAACACGCCTATACCCCGTTTTGTGGGCAGACGACTAATTGTTTAAAAGATATTAATAATTAAAGTTAGTTACTACTTACATTGAGATGTATGACAGACTCACACATACAACTCGCAATCTAGAGATCCACGGTTCAAATCCTTGATTCCCAACATTTTCTTTCTTTTTTTAATGATAATTTGTCTCTTTTTGAATAACTATTACATAAAAATTAACATTATAAAAAAAAAAATTTTTTTTGAACCGAGGACCTTTAGATTACGAGTTATGTGTTTAACCACGGAGCAGATCCCTGACTTGCAAGTTAAAGATCCTCGGTTCAAATCCTGGGTTCCTGCTGGTTTTTTTTTTCTTTTTTTTTTTATGATGATAATTTTTATGTAGTAGTTATTCAAAAAGAGACAAATTATCATTAAAAAAAAAAAGAAAATGTTGGCAACCAAGGATTTGAACCGTGGATCTCTAGATTGCGAATTGTATGTGTAAGTTTGTCATACTTCAGAATGTAAGTAGTAACTAACTGTAATTGTTAATATCTTTTAAAAAATTAGCCGTCTGCCCCCAAAAGGGGGTATAGGCGTGTTCAGCTCGACGAACTCTACAAGCTGGCAAAGTTTCATTAATAAGTAAGTGTAAAACTTGGATAGTTCTCCTTGTTAGAGAATAAAAGTGAATCGACCGAGTTCCAAGTACTCTATTGACCGATGAGATGTTGACGAGGCTAAGGAATGCGGGTACGATTGGTCGTCGTCGATAAGTCACACCTTACGCACACACATTTTAATCGCGTTGCCTGACAAAGAAGAAAGTAGAGACTTCGCGAGAAAGCGAGATGGTACGAAGTCAGCGTTGCGACGAACTTTGAACGGGAGGATCAAACATGGGGACAGGGCGGAGCATGCGAAGTGCTCCCTTCGCCCCTGTACCGTCCCGCTCGTCAACTTCTCATCGGTCAATAGTTATTCCCCGGAAATCGTGGCTCGTATATGTATGTAAATACGATTGCTTCTTACGTCGTACGATCCAGCCTTGATCTGCGCATACAGTCGATGCTGATCCTCGTCCCAGAAAGGCGGGTAACCGACGAGGAGGATGTAAAGAATGACACCGCATGCCCAAATGTCGACGGGTTTGCCGTATGGTTCTTTCTTGAGGACTTCCGGACTGAGGTAACCGGGCGTCCCGGCGAAACCTATCCAACCGATCGATTCGGTTTATGCTCAGAAAAATCAGTGTTTGATTTAGACGAAAAGGAGGCTCCTTTGCAAAATATTCAAAAATGAAAGGAGATTATCATAGAAGCGACTGTATATCAATCTCTCCGTAGTTACATTTCAAGAATTTTCTAAACATTGAGTTGCAGCAAGTATCGCGTGAATCGAGGGTAATTTTGCGCGGAGCGACGAAAATCGGGGCCAATTTCACCCTTATCTGCGTTCTATTCGGTTGGCTAGGATCGACCATTACGCAAGTCGATGTACTGGAACTCTTGACGATCTAACTTTCGAATGTGTCGCTCGAGAAATGGCGACGATGAATCGTTTACGGCGATTCGCGATCTACAGTTCGAAACTTGCCAGACGAAGACGAATCGACTATTCAAGAACGGAAACTAACGTTCGGTTAACATCGTGAAACATCGACTTCTATGATCGAGAAAGCTAGAGAGAGAAAACGAGGGGAAAAAGAAATGAAAATCCGTGGAACAATATGGAGAAATCTCGTTTGGGAAAAGTAAATGTGCGCGTCAGGAGGGAAGGATGATGATTCTTTGACCGCAAACACAATACGCGGCCTGTACCGTAGCGAAAATCTCAGAACAGTGAATCTACTTTGCCCGCGGAAACTTTTCCAATAGCATGGAAAACTTTCCTACAGCTTTTCCGCGATAAAACAAACTGGAACAGCCAGTCGAACCAGGCCGTTCCAACGTGACATACCGTGTATGTACCGTGTGTTTCTAAAATGACGGCTTAAAAGGTAAGAAAGATGTTATACAAAATGTTACATAAATATATCTTCAAATACCTTAAATGAAACTCTTTTTCTTCTTGTACCAAGTTTACTCTGAAAGTTTTGAGAATCACCAGAAAATATTAAGAAATATTAATTACAATTGACAATCGTTATCCTACATCTGAACTTAAATTTTTTCAAAAATATTATTGCAATATGTAATAATTATTGATAATTATTCTAAAAACTTTCAGCGTAAAACTATTCTTCTTATTATTGGTATATATTATACTTTGTTTTAGAAACATCCTGTACAAATGCACTGTAATATCCCGCCGGGGCGGGTTATACAACCGCCATTAAATGACAGTAGGGTGGCAGAAGACAAGGGGGTGAGGGGTTGGAACGAATGAAAATGTCGACAGTCAAATTTAAATCGCGACAGCCTAGAAACGACGCGACGCGACGGAGGAAAACGTGAAACGCGAACTGGCAGATGTACCGAAGAATTACACGAGGGGAGGGACCGAAAACTGGGGGTGGGGGGGAGAAAAAATCCTTTTCTTTTTTTCTCTCTATTTCTGGAACACCCACTTTCTGCTGACGCGAACATGCAAACGAATTTAAATAAACCCCAGCGTCGATTCGTTATGTAAATTCCGTGGACCTATGAACGAGCTTCTCTACATACTTCCTTTCTTTCCGTTTCTGTATTTTTAAACACTCGCACGATTTACATCGTTTCAAACTCGATTATAATTGCATTTACAATGTTACGCAACCCTTTGTCCCCTCTGATATAACCGGAGGGCCGGTTTTCAAGACTCTTCTGACTGGTTTTTAATTTATACAGGAAACGTGCTTCGCTTTCCTTCCTTTTCTTTTTTTTTAGTAACATGTTAAAATATGTATAAAAAAATAATGAAACCAGAGGAGAAGTGTTAATGTACTTTAATTAGTTTGTTTTCTACCTTCTCTTCCTGTTTAATTTTTTTCTTTTTTTTATTCAACAATACATATATCATCGGTCAAAAAATATTCTAATATGTCTTTTGAAGCGAAACACGTATTAATAATGCGATAATTATGCAGAAATAAAATTGGAAAATAAAAAGGGGAAGAGTTAGACGACTTACCGAACCATGCTTGTGCTTCGCCCTGCACCTCGATCGCCAATCCGAAATCCGCTAATTTCACAGCCGCGCCTTTCGCCTTACTCGCGAGGAGTAAATTTTCGGGCTGCAACAGGAAGCAGACTCGTCGACATTCCTGCGCACTCTTCGCACAAACCGTTGCCGTTGTCCTGCATTTTTACGCGGCCATGCTGTAGCTTGATCCACCAACAGGAGATATAACATATACACACACACGCGTGCATCCCTCGCAAACACGGTTCTACCATTTTTCCCCCCCATTTTCTAACCTTTTCTTTGATTGACCATATTATGGTGTAACACGGCTATAATTATAATTATTCAGAATACGAATCTTTTTCACTTCGTGCCTCACATAATAAATATTAATATCACTTGTAATTTGAAATTTGTGATATTAGTCACCAGTGACCCCACAATATATTAAACGTTTTAATAATTTTTTAACGTTCAAAATGCAAACTAACAAATTCGCTGGTTCTATATTTTAATCCCCCTCTGCCTAATAATAATTTAATTAACGTGAACGAGAAATACTCTCAGGTGCAGATTTCCGATGATAATGAAAATGAAAATCAGCAAAATTTCAACAAGGATTTCCTATGTAACCTTAAGCGAAGCTAATTTTCCCTGTCCGTTTACCTTCTCCTACCCTCGTGTTACTCTTCCTTCGTCTATCGCCCTAAACAACGTGCTCATTAAGAACGGACGTTTATCTGAAAATGTTCGATTAAGCAGACTGAACATTTCGTTCACGATGTACTGGACCTTTCAAGCATGGCACTATTTCGACAGTGAACTTGTCTCTTTACGTACTTTCAGGTCCCTGTGCACAACACCATTGTGATGGCAGTGGTGTACGCTTTCCAGGATTTGTTGGATACAGTGTGATGCGTCCGCTTCGCTGTAGAATTCTCGCGCCACGATATCCTCGAACAATTCTCCGCCAGTCACTCTGTTAATCGAAGATAACAAATCAATCAATTCAAATCTTGCCACTGTGGTATTTCATTATTGTGGTAAAAGAACTTTTTATCGCAGTTGATGATAATACAAAATTATCTTGAATCGGAAGAAACCTTCTAACGAACTATTGCAAAACCGATCGAGCTGGTAATTAAATGGCTAACGATACTTTTCGCCACGGAATATCGATATCGTAGTTGCCACCGCCTGGATTCATTAATATGTAAATCGGAGTTGATTAAAATTCACGAGAACCGACCGTTTGAGTAATCGCTAGGTGAATGGTACAAATTAACAATCACCGAGATAAGAATATAAGATAAAAGAGGGATAGTTAAAATACTGTTTCCAATGTGAAAAATCTATAAAGTTGTATGAAACAAGAATAATATTTCAATTATTTTTTTTCTTAATTAATTGTACTTACAAGTCAAATACAAGGTAATGGTAATTTTCCTCCTGTATGCTATCGTGTAATCTCACTGTAACAGAAAATAGAAATGGAAACATTAAAATGAATAATGTATAATTCTTGAAAAAATTTTAATTCTATAATTAACATTTCACGTACGAGGAATTATTTAACCGAATTGTTTATTAGACGCTCGATACGATACCGTTTCATGTCGAGTATTATTTGCATCCACGACATTTTGCTCGATCACGACATTCATTAAGGTCAACGAAGAGACGGTGCTCGCGATACAGACCAACGGTCTCGTCGAATCGGCCTTAATTAATGTCAAGTGAGGGCGCGGACTGAGTCTACGCGAAAATCGACCACTCTAAGCGTCTCGCGTTATTTTCTCCAACGTGAAACGCTACTGATATGAGATTTTATAAATTTTTTTATATTTCGAGCAATGAAAAGAAAAAATCTACATTTTGACATTTAAAAAGATTCCCTTAATAAACTATTAAATAAACAAAAGAAAAATAATCTATTTTTAAAAATTCTCGGTACATGAATTTTTCATTTCTTGAAAATAATTTCCTCTACGTCGACCACTGAAAATCCTGTCTAGTATCGAAAACATAAAACAAATTTCCGTTTTCATCGCACAGAAAAATCACCGCGATCTACCGAGACGTCTACCGAGGCGTATAAAAACTTTCCAGCCGCGTGATGGGTTGTCGCCTGGAAACTCGCGAAGCTAGCAAAATTTAATGAAAATGGAAGAGATATCCGGAAGAACGAGACACCGTTCAGACGGTAGAAATCCTCTGCTCCTCATCCTTTTCAAATGATCCTCAAGCCGATCAAAAGGAGAAAGATAGAGAGCCTATCTTCTCGCTCTTTGATACCCTCCAACGATCCAATAAGGATCAAGAGGGAGACGAAGATCAGAGGGCAGAACGAGCGTTATTATGGGAATTTTTATCGACGAGATAGAGAGAAATGGAGATAGATCACGTTTTGGATCGAGCAATTCTTTTTCTTTTTACCAGGCATCGTTTGTCGTTCGAATATCAGCAAAGAAATGTCAGATGAGGAAAAAAAAGAGGATATTATAAGCGATATCAGTGATAAGAAATTAGATGCAATTTATTTGAATTTGATTCTCTGAAGCCTTTTAAAGAAAATGTTAAGTCTGTTTAAGGTGAAATGGGGATTATCCATAAAATTGGATAAGGAATCGTATGATACTTGAATTTCATCCTATCAAGATTTGAAATAGGTTTAGATTTTTAAAATAAAAGAAATCTTGACAAAGATCTCGATTAAATTGAAAAATATTCTTATGACTCTCCGTTGCATCTCCGTTGCATATACTGCAAACAATTTAGAAAATTGCAGAAGGCGTTAATCTTGGCTGAAAGAAGAAGATGGAACGCGAGTAACTGGCGTAAGTATCGATCCTGGAAGCCACGCCTCGACGCAACGCGTTTTCATGATTACCCCCTTGTAGCACCCTATTTTCCTCTGACATTCACGGAAATGTATGACATTTCATACCTTTGTGATTTATCATTTGCCTATATCTTCGGGAAGCACGGAAAAAGTCAAACTGCCTACAGAAATTTTCAGGATACCTTCTTCAGGAAATGCCTTCTTGTATCAAATTGATTTTAGATTTGTTTGGAAAATTTTAAAATAATATAACTCAAAACTGTTGCAAATTTCGGAAATCTATTTAGATCCATTTAATTTGATAAATTTTGTATGAGTGTTTTTTATTATTATTATTGATTGCATTAACTATGATTGCATCACTAAAGTTTTCTTAAATCCTTTTTTTAAAGACAGAGGATATAAATAAATCGAAAGACGTTCGCGAATAAGACAATTAACAGATCCAACATCCACGAAAAACCTTACTACGGAAAAGCTCGTTATTGTCGCGAACGGTCTCTTGATCGTGAGCTAAAGTTTGTCTTTGTCTTTGAGATTAGATGGGTCGAACAACCCTTAAAGCCAACCCAGATCGTTGATCTGAGAGGTCGTGACAGAAACCCGAACGATTTTTTCCTCTTCCTGAAATTTAATTTTATTCGCAGCCTCTTCTATCTAATAATAATTAATGGTACAAAGTGTTGAAGGCCATAAAAGAATTGAGATACCTATTCCTAGTTAATTTATCCTTATTGCATTTTTCAACGTGATCAACAAATATACAATACTATATAGGTATGTCCATTAAAATCGATTGCACAATTGAACACAGGTGTTCCTGACAGCATCGAAATAACTAATAAATAAATTACTTATCAAGTAATCTCAGCAATCTAGGTCACTAGGTGAAATGCATTGCCCTATCAAATAAAACTGCAAATTTTTATATTAAATATAGATATTTCAATGAATTAATTCACCTCAATAAAAGGAGTGCAGTTACATTTTTGGGTGAATCGTTGCACTTATAAAAAAATAACAATCAACTCCCGGAAACAAGGATTCCTGTATCATTCAATGTTTTCTTTCTATCCAACCAAAGTTGAATTACAAATTGTTCCAATTTGCATGTCCAGTCGATAGGGTTAAATAAATGACTGGGAGAAACAGCAGACCTTCGAACGTCGCGGAAGAAGCAGGAGATAAAAGGAGGCAGTCGTCAAAGTACATACGTATAAGTGAGCAAAGCGAAAGAAAAGAAACGTGAATCGGGGCGACAGCGAGTCTGACAGAAACGGGGTGAAATACGATCAGTCGAGGAGGATCGATAGGTATCACTTGTTGACTGGAACGGACGTGTAAGGCCGGTGCACGCCATGATGGAAAACGGGCCGCGAAAGAGGATATCGTAATTCATTTGGTCACGTCCAAGCTGAACGGATAGAGCCATACGATGAATAAAAGAAACCCACCTTCAGCTCCTTATGAATTATGGAATCGACTCGAGCGATTTAACAAACCCTGCGACTTTTGTCGTCTCTGAATGTCGCTCTTCTAATTCGTTCCGCGATCAGTTACAACTGTTTTCATTCAACGCTGTCACATACTTCCTCATCTACTCTTGGCAACTTATTGATACCAGATAATAAGTTTCCATTTTTGAAAATGGGGTGAAAGATAGTCTTCAATTTTTTATCCTTGGACACTGGATGATACGTATCCTCAATTTTTTGTTCTTTTAAAATTAATAATTGTAGTGTCCCTGCGTCCACCATAAAATATATTATTGCATATAAGGTGGCTACAGTCAGGGCGAGTCAATGTAAAAAAATTAATTGAAAATTAATGGATATTCTAAAATTTCTTCTCATATTAGCTGCCAATTCATGTTCTGTGAAGAAGTCACAGAAACGATTCTTTGAAAGATCCTCTTTGGATCAGAATCATTGAACATTCTCTGTGTTCCATTAAAATAGAACTGACTAAGCTTTGTGTAGCGACGCAGAAGTGAAATTCGAGGTGATCAGCGGATCAGAATTTCTCGAGCAATTTCAAAGAATTTCTTGGTGGAAAATCGAGGCAAACGAACACTCCGTGCTCTCGACGAATCGCTCTTTAATTGTCCATACGATCCTTCTCCTTGCTCTCTACGAAAAGGAACTTTTATTCCGAGAACCTACAAACAACTTAACTTCGAACGAGTTTCCAGAAAATCGTGGTTAAATTGAGTTAATCAACATGTTTGAATTCTTGAATTTCATTTTCGTAGAAATTCCAGGAAGTAAGTTTACCCCCTGATTCAACGAATAAATTTATAATTCATTAATATTAAAGCATTTTGAAATCTTAGGTTTCTTTTTATATTGAAAAATAAATTACTGATAAAAAATCGTGCAATCCTTTTATTTTTCTAGGCGACAAACCGAACGCCATTTTCCGCGAACAATCCCAGCGTCAGAGCAATTGATTATTCCATGAATGGAAGCGTATGCTGCTTTTCGATTGTGCCGATCACTTCTCGATTATACATAGACATATTGCAAAGGGATTCGCGATAGGTACGGTCAACAAAATTCGTTTGCAAACGAATGAAAGGCCAGTCGAGAGATTACTCGTTCGACCGTGGCCCAGCACGGTTCCATTACTACGAATACCAGCCAACTAGTTTTCCTTCCGTTCGATCGATTAATAAAAAAACGTTAATTGCCGTGTCACGGCAATCCTCGACAATGAACCAGAGCAAATTTCTCCGATTTTTTTTCTCTATTGTCCTCCTCGCCGAGGTAGCCACGTTTTGACAAAGAGTTAAGGGCACAAACTCCTTCGAGGCCTGCTCCGAATCGATGTAAGCGCTATTGGAAAGAATCGGGCAATCGTGAAAATACATAATTGAGAAATTCGACATTTGACGGTGTAACATCTAACGTCATTATGCAGAATAAGAAACGAAAGTAGGGTGGCATACTTAGTTGTCGAATCGCATCATTTTAGAGTTCTGTCACGGTGTTGCCGCATTTGTGACAATCCTGACCATCTAGCAAAATGAACCGGCTCGAGCCGAGATTTTGATTCCTGTCGGAGATAGAAAAAGACAGCACGAGAGAAAGAGAAGGAGTATCAAGAATAAAACAACGTAGGGCCGATCGGCGGAAATATACATAGAGTCACACACCACGACAGATTCAATGAGACTCTGTAATACACATAACGTACGCGACTATAAAACTTATAGGAATAAAAACTACATGGCATTAATAATTTCAAGAAGGGAATAAGAAATAAAGACATGTAATAATTTATAATGTTTATTTATATTTATTCCATAATGATCCCCTTTATTCCTGGGGATAAGGTATGGTTTTACAATCCCCGAAGAACGAAGGCAAAATGTCCCAAAATTTTTCCAAATTGTATTGTATTCCCCTTCGTTTGTACCCGTTGATACCACTTTCCTTTTCGTTTGTATCTTAAGGGGTGAAAAGATATAAGAGGGTAAAAATACCGTAGCACCCCACTTTAACATTTTTTATTTCTCTCAACGCCATAAAAAAAAGAAACGTTTGTACCCGTTTGTACCACCTTCACTTTCGTTTGTATCCCAAGGGATTGGTTTGTACCGATATTTGAAACAAACCCCTAGGAGTAACT